CGAGGGACAAGTGACCGCGAGGGACGGTCGGAAAGCAAGATACGCGCTCGTCCTGGAAGTCAGGACATTCAACAAGGATATGCACGACTGTAAGAGGGACAATGCAGTTTGGACAATAAGGAGCAGGGCGGCGCTCCATTAAGTGACCGTGAGTTAAGCGTGTATGGACAATACACAACCTTGCCAGAGCCGTTTCCCACCGTCGGTTACGGTGGTAGGAGGAAGGCCACGGGGACACACTACTCTTAAGAGTATGCAGATTGTTACCAGCAACAGAAGACCAACAACCTTGCCAACGGCCAATGACGGAACTCTGAAGGATTTACGATCTTATTCTTGAATTATTCATATTAAGGACTTACGATCTCAATGAAACAGCTGAAGGATTTACGAATTTGGTTTTGAACTGCAGGATTAACGATGTCGGTTGTATTACTAACAATGTCAACGCGTAAACTAATGGATTTTCACTGTTAACTAAACAGCCAATAATATTGCCAAATTGCTTTCTCTGGAAGACATTGTTTTGTAAGTGGAAAAATAAAACCGAGTACCAGGACTACGTATCTGACAATGGCAGATAATTCTTAACATTAAGGTGAGCAGGCGGATAGCCCGCCTGCTTTCATAACTCTCACGGTATATCCCACTTATTAGTTCAAAAAATAATAAATCAGGCTTTTACGCTCCTACATCTGTCAGTGCTTATCAACACAAAATGCTATATACTTACGGTGGTCTCAGTTGTTCAACACCCACAAAGGCAATTTTTGTTCACCATGATGATTTTCTTAATTGGAAAAAGAAAAGAAAACTGCCCGAAACGCTATGCATGTTAATGGCTTTGCAAGAATGTAAAAACATCAGTGCTATCTCTCATAAACCCATTGTATCTTCTTGTATATAAATAGAACAAAATTTGGGTCTCTTAAATTTTAGTTCGTTTATATTAATTGTTCTGATGATTATATATGTATTTCTTGACGTGTTGAGTGATCTTTATATACAATAGTGTTTTTTTTTATAACGTATTATTTCTTGCATTTAACAATACACGACCGCATTTTTGTTTTATTACGAACTGTTAATATTTTGTTTTATTGTGAAATGTTAGTAGCGGCCAAACTACAAGATTGGCGTGTTCTTTCAAACAAACAATACTTAAAATGAAATAGATGCTATATCTGCAGGGTTGTCTAAAGAGCACTGTAATCCCTGAGCAAGGCAATATACTGGGGGCCCCGCCCGTAATGTGCACGATTACCGTTAGTTTTATTTATAATAAATAATTTGTGCATATTTTAAAAAGGGGGATTTGGATACCAGGCCTTTCCAGAGAGATCTCTCATGAACAATATATAATTTATATATGGCAGCATGGAGCCTCTAGAATTATGGAGGCCCTGGGCAACTGCCCTGTGTGCCCATACGTTATGACGGCACTTGTGTAGATAATGCATGCACTCGATTGTAAAATTCCACCGCAACCCACTATGGGTGTAGGTGCATGAGCTAATACGAATTATATGCAATTATAGCTCTGCATACATATAAATGACTTAATTTAGAAATTGTATGCTCCAGTTCTTTAACCCATCAATATCCATAAGAGTCTATCCGAGGTTGGAAGCCTGTCGTTAGGAATTAACAGTAAGTAATTATCAAAAGAAGGCATCAAGCCGGATAGACTGTGTAGCACCATTAGGGTCGCTGTATATTCAAAAGGCGCCAAATATCACCGAGGATGCCAGTACCAGAACAAAAGCGCATAAGGCGAGCTACAAAGTTATCAGTCACCAAGGATTTTGTAGACAAATGACCTCAAGGGACATTAGGGAAGCAACACATGCGATCGTCCAGAAAATCAGGATATTCCACAGGGAAGTTCATGACAAAGTGGGACAATACAATGCAGTTTGGACAATAAGGGAGCCGCTCCTTTAGGTGCCCGTGAATTACCTGTAAAAGAGTATGGCCAATACATAACCTCGCCAGAGCCGTTTCCTACCGCGTTACAGTAGTAGGAGGCAGGGCAAGGGAACACGCTACCCATAGTTTGCTACCAGTAACAGAAGTAAGTAATTATCAAAAGAAGGCACCAACCCGGGAAGGCTTTGTAGCACCATCAAATGTGTGGGATAATCAGAGGGCGCTAAATATCACCAAGGACGCCAATACGAGAACAGAAACGCATAAGGCGAACGATATCAAAAGTATCCGAGTCACCAAGAATTCTATAGGACAAGCGACCGCGGGGGACGGTCGGAAAACTGTTTCTATGGTCGGAACTATGTAACTCGCTTACCAAAACTATCTGTCTCACTTTAATGAAATTAATGTTCAGTTCTGGAATCCATTATGTACCTCTGTATACCCCTTTTCCACTACCACTCACAGATAACATGTTATCCAAAAATTATGGTAACTGTTGGTTAAACTATTGTACACAAAACATCACGTATGTAGTATTTAAGTATTAACTTTTGTAGAGGGCACAAAAAATAGGCAACAATTAAACCTAATTTTTTCTAGGCCTAGTGAAGCACATATATATATTAAATTTTAGGCCTAAAATGTGGTATCTAGGATTATTTATTTAGACCTAGGCTAGGCTAGATTAGATTGATTAGCTACTATATTAAATTCTTTGGTTACAACAGTTCATTCTAGCACGCTCAACCAAAAGTTGTTATACAAGTGCTATCATCTTTGAAGGCTGGATTCCAAGATGAGTATAGGGGTGCATAATAATTTAACTAAATTATACAAACTACAGCCAGTTTCCAAGTATAATTTGTATGTTTTTACCGAACATAATCCTGCCCAGAAAAGTATGTTTCACATGCTTCAAAATACTCAAAGTAACAGTGCCAGTAATAAACGGGGGATGTGAGGTGCCAGGAATAAGGGGGATGTGCAGAGCAAAAGAAAAACAGGGAGGGGGGGGGGGGGAGTAGGCTTTACGATTGAAGGGAAAAGTGAGGTACAACAATACTAACAATGAGAGGGTTGTGAAGTGCCAGGTTGAATAATGGATGAGTGAGGTACCGTGAATTGGGAAGTGTGGAACCAGGAATGAGGGGAAGGGGTGCAGGTTGAGAGGGAATTATCAGGGGAAAGTGCCAAGCCATTACGACAATCTAAGCAACAATATTGAGAATGAGAGGGGAAATAAATCAGCTGGCCAGGAAAACTGAGAATATAGCACATTGATAGGTAAAAGATACAGGAAGGGAGATTATCTTGAGATGATTTCGGGGCTTTTTAGTGTCCCCGTGGCCCGGTCCTCGACCAGGCCTCCACCCCCAGGAAGCAGCCCGTGACAGCTGACTAACACCCAGGTACCTATTTTACTGCTAGGTAACAGGGGCATAGGGTGAAAGAAACTCTGCCCATTGTTTCTCGCCGGCGCCTGGGATCAAACCCAGGACCACAGGATCACAAGTCCAGCGTGCTGTCCGCTCGGCCAACCGGCTCCCAATGTAAAGAGAAATATAACTAATGAATGAATTCTGAATGAAGAGATCAAGTGTGAATAGAAACTTACAAAAGTGAGAGAGAATATGAAAATGCAATACTAATTGAAATGTATAATCTGTGTTGTATGCAAAATATATTTCATCAGTACACGTTTGTACTATGCTGACTGGAAATTTTAGCTAGGATATACCATTATTACACCATACTGTATGCTCTACATGCACATGGAAATTAAAACACAAGAGAAAATCAGTAAGAGCCATGAGAAGGATTTGAACCTATGCTCTGGGTACTCCCAAGCACTGCCACACCTACATCACAACATGGTCAAAAGCATTGCAACCTGGGATTCAACTGAAAGTTCTAGGGTTCCCAAGGCTTCCACTGAAGCTTAAGTTTCACACAATGGTCCCCCATGCACTCTGACTTGTAGTCTAGGAATTCTACCTCTTACGCTTCTCTATCCTCCTCATGATTCCTGTTAATTTTCTCATTGATACATCACAAATATGATTTCTTCATGCATGAAAATACAAAAATGTATTATAAAACAGCTATTAAAGTTCATCACGTGAATGAAGGCTGTATTAGTCCTGGTTTGATTCTTGAGCAGGAAAGATCGTGGGACACATTTCCTTGCATCTGATACCTGTTTACCTAACAGTATATACACCAAGGAGTTAGGGAATTTTTGTGGGTAAAAGCAAGTAGAGGTCCATCAAAGTTGGCCTAGGGAACATTACTGAGCCTATCATGCTTCCTGTTCCAGTCAATACTGTACTTGTGGTTTTTCATAGAGTAGTATACCTGGAGAAAATTTCGGGAGTTTTTCTACTCCCCGAGGATTGGGGCTAGGTTCGAGTATACTTCCGTAAGTTGTTATACCATGATTATTATAATTTAAATCCTGTATCAAATTCTTCTTGCCTTGGTTGCCACATTAGTGAAGCAGTTACCACTAGTTCACAAAATTTACATTATCAAAATACGTATTGTAATGGACTTAGCAAGAAAAGATACTGTATATAACACCATTTAAGTTACAGAATATTCAATAGTATAGTGTCTATACACCTTTCAGGATATAAAAAAAAAAAAAAATAAAAGGATGAGCTTTACACCAATAAAAATGTACATTATATTAAAGGAAAATTAAAACAGAAATATTGTAATAAAAAGCCATTCCAAGATTGATGACAAGGTAGGAAAAATGTAGTGCAGATGCTCAGTACATAGCAAGAGTTGAAGTGAGAGTCAGAGAACCCCTTTATTGTATTTTCTAAAAACTAAAGAGATTCGTCCACAAATGGCCAAACTATTGTTAAACCTAATGAAACGGTGAAAGGATAAATTTTTGTAACTCCTTTGGCGATACAGCAGTAATTACAATTTAATTAAAATTTTAACCAGTCTCTGCAGATGTACAAATTTCCCTGTATAGAGAATAAATTCTGATGTTCATCGCAGACAATAATTCTTTATAATTAAACACTGGCATGCAGTACAATATAATATGACCATTATTCACAAATACTTTTATTTATATTAGTGCAAGGAACCTATACATTCGTATAGTTGCTTAAAAGTTTTTCAATCTTATTAGTTCAATGTACAGTAATTTGTCTGCATCATCTTGCCCAAAATGCAAAATGTGGCACGTAAGAGATACAAATAATTGCACAATAAAAATGAGATAAAAGTAGGTACAGTATTGCTGAATAATAAATATTTTGGCAACATATTACTTCCTTAACATATTTCCTTTTAAAGCACATTTTATTGCATACAGCATTTAAATGTTTCAAGTCAGTCTGGAGTTGTTTTATGCAAGTGGTACACATCTTCATAATATATGAAAACTCAAAATTATTGTTAACTGGTAACTTCCTTGGCAATGTATAACTACAAAACTTTAAATGGCCAAATACCATCATGCATCATTATTTATCATGGGCAAAAAGAGAAAAAAAAAAAACTAGATTATTACTTTCACAAAATATTGATAACCCACTAAGAAATTTACGTTAAAGACATTAAATAATGTCTTAAACTTTTAGAGTTAAATAAAAGCTGCATTCAAGAGATATTATGAACATTTCATTTCATGGCTTGGAATTTTGTGCATCAAGTGAGCTTTTACCAAAACGATCCTATGGGTTGTGAACCAAAATATTTTATGTACTCATTGTTCTAAATTTTTCTAAACATAAATTATGATTATTCCATATTCTGAATTAAAATTATGAAACCTTTCTGTAACTGCCAGAATGTGATTATTCCTGCATAAATGTAATGAAAGGATAAATCTTCTGACTTTGGGCAATGTGCTTAATAAGCACGTTATATTTGTGTACCTACTGTATTTTAAAGTCAAATATTATTTGGTAAATTTATGTACATAAACTGTACATTCATCATGTATATTTTATTTTCCTGATAAATCTAACCTAACTTTCAATCTGTATTAAAAATCAGAGAAAATCGAAACTATAAACATATGGAAGAGCAGTGTGGTAAATTCCTCAGATGTTCAAACAAAATATACACACTTTGCAATATTTGTATACAGTTCTAGGAATGCATGCACAAATCTGGTCACAAAGAAATACCAGAAATATATACAAGTTATATATTGAGGAAAAATCACCAACTATCCTTATAACATTGCACATCTTTCATAATGGATATTAAAAACAAATCTTATCTAGATTATTTTTAATCATCTTCACCCAGGAGGGCAAATTTGTTCCCCACAATAGCCCTGGGTTCCTCCTCTTCACTGTCAGTTTCATCACACGATACTTCGTCTTCACTGTGTGTGTGTTCCACGTTATCATCTACCAACTCATCAACCTCAGCCTCCACTTCTTCATGCAATTGTGTGTATTGCAAAGGTTCTGTGGCTTTTGCATGAACACCTTGGATAAGCTTTATTGCCTCTACCCGAGGATTGTTCTCGAAGTTTTCTGGCAGAGGGTAAAGACTATTTAGAAAATATTGAAAAATAGGGCCCATGAATTTTTTCCCTTAATGTATGGCTATTGAAAAACTGAAAAATTACAAAAATTATTTGTCATTATAGAATTAAATTGAATGAAAATGTAAGATATAAAAATATGAATATGTACCTCGTTACTGGGTGGAGAACTGAACAGTTACACAGTAGCCGTGTGGTCTGGCATTTTTTTTTATTTATTTATATATGTAAAAGTTCTTACATTTGTGTCAAAACGTAACATCCTTACAAGTGGGCATCTGTCAACACACGATGCCGACTGAGGTATGCAAGACATGACGCCTGTGTTCTCCTCCAGTGTTTCATTGTTTTAACTTGTTTCTATTTATTTACAAGAGTATATATACTGAATAATGTGATAATTCACATAATTCACAAAAACTACGATTGAGAAAGACTGGTTTACCTGGTATACTCGAGGTTATCTCGAGATAATTTCGGGACTTAGCGTCTCCACGGCCCGGTCCTCAACCAGGCCTCCTTTTTGATACCCCCAGGATGCAGCCCGTAGCAGCTAACTCCCAAGTACCAATTTACTGCTAGGTCAACAGAACCATCAGGGTGAAAGAAATTGCCCATTTGTTTCCGCATCCACCAGGGATCGAACCCGGAACCTTAGAACTACGAATCCCAAGCGCTGTCCATTCAGCTGTCAGACTTCCTTACAATCACACCGAGTTATGAAAACCATATGAACATCACTGGTATGCATGCCATATACAGTAATTAGGATGGCATTTTATACAATGACGATGACAGTATTTGCCTAACGACATTGATGACGATAACCTCAATCACATAGTAACAACCCATGAAACGATTGCAGGATTTTATTCCATGGGTCAAGGTACAGCCCATTACATCCACACAGAGCCATTACTGTATATCCATATTTGCATCATGCGTGTAAAACCCAGACAATAATACAGGGGGTTTACATCATATGATGATAACCGCATTACCCCATGAATCATCATACAACTGTTCTTTAAGAGTTAGTGAATTTATACATCTAGCAATCTTTCCGAGATAGCATAGATTAAATAAAACAAGTATACATTCATTGATACTTTGTTATATCAAACCCAAGTTAAATGTTAAGAGATGAAATGTAATTACATCATGAAGAATGTATCAAGAATGAATAAGTTCTAAAAGGAGACAACAGAAGACAAGTGAAGGACAACTTTGGAACTATTTGAGTGGAATTATTAATGTGAAATGTACAGTTAGCTATAAGGAGTCAGTTCAAAGGAAAAATCAAATCTTAGATGTACAGACAAGACAAAGAACATGGAAATATGTAAGTAAAGTTGGCAGCCTTTTTGAACAGACACTTCTTTATGCCACAGTTCAAATGTGATACACCGAGATGTGTAAAATGGATGGACAAAGAGATGAATGATACTGAAGTGTATCATTATCGATTAAATGCATTAAACAACAGAGAACATAAAAATGTAGGGAATATGGGTTACACACTGGATCACAATAGTTTGAACACTGAGTAGAAATATAAGATAAAGGTACATGTGGAAAAGATTATGGATGAAGTAATAGTGAGAAATTAGTAGGAGAATTTAATTTAACATTGGAAACATAAGGTGAAAGACCAAAACAAGGAAAAGTCCAAACAGGAAATGGATCAATTATGTTCAGTAAACGTTTCTAGGGAATGAAACTTGCTTTCATACTGCCAACTCACACCACACAATTATTGTATCTTCTTTCAACAGTGTGGATTCCAAAAATATTGTTATTTACTGTGATCAATTCATTATGTTAAAACTCTGGGTAAGGGTCTCATTATGAATGAATCCTAAATTGCATTTCTTTTTTCCCTAATCCTTCTTGAGGATCATTTCACCTTTCTACTGTCACGTAATACTCTATCCTCTTTAGCTCCAGATTCACTTGTCATGGGTACACCTGATGTCACTTACCTTTATTCTGGCAGTAGCCTGGTGGTCTCAAGAATAATACGAGTGACTTCTGACCATTGTGACACAATCGAAGCAACTCATTGGCAGCTCTTGAAACATCTATCCCACCTCGAACACGAGTATGGTATCCCCGCTTTACAGCCCAAGCTGTTCAATTATTTTAAATATTAAAAAAGAGAAGTTAACTCCATTGGGAATTTTTTATCTGCATAGGGAGCTAGAACACTATGTTTTCAATATCTTACTCATTTCCCTTCTACTTAAATACAAAACACAATATAAGAATACTGTTAGTCTAAGAAAATATAATGTGACAAAGGTCAACATTTCTGAGAATTCAGAGCAATCATTTTACTCTTGTAAATAATAAACTTCAGTGATACAATTCTGTAGAAGAAAAGTACTACACCTGGTTAATCTTATTAAAAAACTGGATTAACCTCTCTTAACTGAGCAATAAATAAATTTCATAAAGAAAAGGCATACAATGCCTAAGAAATCATGAACAAGCACTGAAATTAGGCCCACCTTCACAAATATAGTAAGCAGTCCATTTCATGTCCTCCAATTCTTTATTCGAGAGCTTGAGTAGTTTGGGAATATCTAGCCTTGAGGCAACATAGTGAACGATGCCAATTGGATCACGAACCTGAGATATGGGATAGCTGCCTTGCATAACCTGAGGAAGAGAGAAAACTATTGCAACATTACAGGAAAATAAAGTTTAAACTGTTTAACTCTGAATAAGGGTGATACAGTGGTTACAGAGATTAGACATTTCAGCATCTGTAATTAGTATTACAAACACATTGAACAATGAACAGAAATGAGTTGGAGAAAAAGAAAAAGTGACAGGACCCCTTCGGCATTAGCCAAAGACAAAAAATTATTTTCTATTCGAGTAAGATAAGCAGAAAAATTGTAAGAATTAATGGAAGAATGTACATTGCAAATCAATTTAGTAATACGATACTCAAATTTTAACACATAGACCCCTCAGAGTTAAGTTGCTTGATAAAACAAGAAGATTAAAAACAGTACTGGGTATATAAAAAAGTTGGAGGGCGGGGTGGGGGGGGGGGGAGTCGGAGATAGGATAGGAACTAGGATACCAAGACAGTGAAGGAATAGTACCCAACCACTTGATCAATCAAGGATCGAATGCCAACCTGAAAAAATTGAGGCCACTGTGGACCCGACTAGTACAAGTGGATCAGGAAAAAAAAAAAGGGGAAAAAGCTGCTGAAAGACACACACTTAGCCCCTAGAGCAAGTGGCAAAATGTTTTCTCAGAGTTGAATTTCAGGTTCATTAAAAGAACCAAGGATCAAGTGCAGGAATGCTTTCTGCATCATTCAAGAGACTAGGAGTAATTAACAACCCTCTCCCTCCTAATCTTATGTATGGAATTCAAGAATATTTGACTCACCTGTAGTGGTATCGAGACTGTGGATGGGAATACCAGACCTGGACAGTCACACAACTTAACATTTTTAGTAATGAAGATGGTCTGGAAGTGCTTGGTGTGGCCAGGAGTTTTGCTTACGCTCACAACCTGTAATACATTTGGAATACTATTACTGAGGTCAGGTTCTCCCACCAAATCCATGCAACTTCCTCCATTAACTGCATTCCATTTTGGCAGATTTCCCGATTGTCTCTCCTCTCAAACAAGCATCTTTTCATTTAGTCCTTCAATTCTCTCTCCCTGCTATTGGAAGTTTTTCATATTTGAATTATCACATACAGAACACTGTTTTCAATAAGCATTTCCTATAATCTTATTAATTCATACATATAATTATGAATCTGCCCGAAATGCTGTGCATACTAGTGGCTTTACAAGAATGTAAATACCATGCTATGTATTCTCATAAACCCAATGTAACTTCTTGTATATATATAAATAAATAAATAAATGAAGATATTAATGCTTACATAAAAAATATGATAAAAGGGCACTTCCTTAGTAATGATGTAAAACCAAAATTTGGACCAGAGCAAAATACGCTAAACAAAAATTACTGTTATGAGGTACAGTACATGAAAGGCAAGAGAAATGTGTGCAAATGTTGACAGGGAATACTTCATATGGTGAGATAATGAAAAAAATTGAAATGTGGATGCCACTAAACACAACTACTGCTAACTGAGAGAAGTATTGTATGGAGCATGGCAGAGCAACACTTCCATCAGCATCTGATACTCATACATCCTCACTACATGATAAAACAAAATAGCACCTTTTTTCCCATGAGTGCATTAATGAGCGAAGACTTTCCCACATTAGGGTGGCCAATAGTTCCAATGGTTAGAATACCATCCATGAAACGTTGATGAACCTCAGGTCTGGTGCTCTGAGTCATCACCGTCACACCTTCCGTAGCTTCACACTCTTGGCCGGCCTCACTCTCCATTTCTCGCTCTTCCTCTATCTTCCTTCTCCAAAGACTGAGATCAACTGTGGAATTTTAATAAATGACTACACAAAGCACAAATACTTCACAGTCATAAGTAAAACATATGTTTGATCATAGCTAACTAAGGAAGGTATTCCACGGATTACGTTTCCCGATAATGAAAGAAGCCTTAGTATTATCAACATAATAATACATAATACAACATAATAATATTCTATTTTAATAATTTTAATATTTTTTTCATTAAAGCATTTTGTTTCAAGTCAATACAGTGAAGTGTTCAAGAAACTGACAAAGCCATCAGATACAAAGAAAGAAAGAAGAAAAAGAGAGAAGACAAAAACATTCATCTTCCTGAGGTGGCCCAATCAGGGATACATACTGTCCCAAAAATAACAAACCTGATTGCTCCACCAACTTCTGGCAAGCATCGACAAGCTTTAAAGAGCTTTCAGCAGCCATTTTCAGTGTTCCTCTCCGGAAAGCATAGCCTTCCATTGAAGAGAACGGGACCACAAGCAACTTTGGAAACTTGTCGTGGAAGTATTGCTCCCAAGCGACAACTACAGCTGGAGGCAGAAGATCGCACTTGTTCAAGATGAGTATAATGCCTTTGTTTTCCTTTTCTACAAGATGGTCGTATAGGTATGGAGGGAACTGGGCCACCTGTTAAAGTGAGAGGTTAGATATCAATTCTAAAATTAGTGATAACATTTATTTCACACAAATGCTAGAGAACGATGATTAGCTATCATTTGAATGAATAAAGGTGATCGAGCAGGATTCCAAAGCTAGCATGTCTTAGAATACGGAGTTGTGTAATGAGTACAGGAGGTGGAAATTATTACATGGTTACCTACCATTTTGTGATTCAGGAGGACCAGGGTAGGCTCAATGAAGTAGGAAAAGGATGAATGTGAAAAATACCATACTCTGCACAATATAGGTAAGAGGAGAAAGATTAAGATATAATCAAAACTTGAGGGCCAACAACATTGATAATCTTGCTGAATCAAAACATACAGCAAGAACCACCAACCCTAAAACAGCCAAGGGATGAAGGACGGCTAGAGAACTAAAGAGTGACCGTCATGCAACCCTTAATAGTGCCACGGTAATGTTTGGAGAGCCCAATGAAGGATCTCACCACTAGCCCTCATTACAGGCTGCCACTAAGCTGCTAAAAAGGGCCCCCAGGCACAGAGGAAACCACAAGAAGCATGAGAACAAAAAAAAAAAAAAAAAGGCATAAGATGAGCAACAACTTGACAAAGTGCTCATGCAGGTTCCGCTGAAAGCCGTGTTCTCCAATACGTGCAAATCATGGGTTCCCTGTAGTTGGAGCCCTTCTTAGGCAGTCAGTTGTGATGTTAACCGAGAGCGTGGATGGGCTTTGATTTCTTATTGATTGACCATCGAGAGTAAATTCTGGGAAGGACCGATTCACCAGTGACCACCTCGGCACATTATGACTGCAAGGATAGTGGTTCCTGAAAATGCTGTGTTACTGTTCTGTGTTACTAGCCTGCCTAATTTGAGGAATGGAGTTGAATGTAAGCATTCAGGATGGTGCTAAAATCTTTGCCCCAAGCAAACTACACGTGCCCAAGCAATAGGGACTTTCCTTCCACCATCACACCGAAGTCTTCTTAAAGTTTCAAGCCAAACATTTTCCAGACACCACAGACATTACAAAATTTTGGAGAACGAAAAATTCTTGAAAAAACATTAAAATGCAGACACCTAACCAAAAGATTACATACTATATTGAACTTGATACAGATAATGTACTAACAAAATGTTTCAGTAGTAAATTTACTTTTAAAAGTAATGAGAAGCTGGAAGCATGAAAATCTATCAAGTGATTAAATTTTGTCTGAAAAAGGTCAGAAAATTAAAAAATTGTCAATCTCTGAATTGTCTGAACCAGATAACTTATAAATTACCCTTAAATATGCTATAAAATATTTCACATGTTCCTCTATGTTTAATATACAATACTTAATTACAGTATATAATTTAGTGGCTACATAGATCTAACAAATTTGTGTAATAAGTGATATACAGAATTCAAGAAAGTAAAATGAAATTTGAATGCTATCAAATTATTGACCAGTAAACCCACTAACACATGAAAGAGTTAGAGAAAATATTGCGTGTGATTATAAATTATTTAAGCAAAACAAATTGTTTATTGATAAATTACATTAAATTCCCAATTACTGAAAGCAATGAACTGCTCAATCAGTATTTCTATATAATATATGCAACACAATGACCAAATCCCATTATGCTTGAATGTCAGTATATTTTTATCAATCCAACAGGCAAACACACTGAAGATATTAAAGATTTTAAGTGCCTTTAATACTCACCGAGAACCGAGCATCTACAATAAGAAGCAAAATATCCGACATTTCTGTTACTCTCCAGAGCTGTCTCCATGTCTCCAAGTTCAGCTCGTATAAACTCAATTCAGTGTCGGCAAAATCCTTATTCAGTCGCTCACAAAATAATCTGAAGTATCGGTTTTCAGTGCGGTCTAACTCATGTTTTGTCACATTCTTCTTCCATGCTGGCCTAGTTGGGTAGCGTAGGCCCGGTGGGTAGAACTGATCCGACGTTGTTTCGAACTCGCACTCTGGTACGGGGACAATCTCGGCATAGTGAAGAGCTTTTCGTTTCTCCGCCTCTTCCGGTGCTTCTTTTCTAAACTTTAAATTATATCTGTAATAGAAAAAAGAATTATGAAAAAAAAATATTTACTTCAGCAATTTATATTTCCTACAAAACTAATAATTTTTTCCAATACTGCTCTCATTACCTGATTGTAAATGTGAAAAAGATTCAGAGTAAAATCCTAACTGAGAAGCTCCAATACTGTAGATCTAAATGAAATCTTACTTGGCATGAGCTTCCTTCTCTAAACAACCAATACAGAATAGCAGCAGTCACCGCAAAGAGAAGGGCAACTGGCAGAGCAAAAAAGGAGCCAGACATCTCGCCCCTACACCAGCCTAGCAACAAAGCCAAGATAAGAGTTCCTGAATTCCACAAAGATTAATCACATGCACAAAGCAAGAATAAACACTGCAGTAAACTGGATGTGCAACTTCTTATTTGTCACCTAACAAGCCATAAGTGGTGTATAATAGCTTTACTGAGAAACCGTACATGTTCCCCAAAAAAGACCCACTAAAGATGGGGAAAATCTTCTTTCCACTTGAGGTGCCGCTTTTCCAGAGAACTAGGCATTACAGGCATACCTCAGTTTAAGAGTTTAATTGGTTCCTGGAGACGCCTCGTATTCCGAAAACTCGCATTCCGAAGCTAATTTTCCCATAAGAAATAAAGGGAAATGAATTAATCCATTCCTGACTACCCCAAAAACCCCACATCAAACTAAATGTTTATACCTAATTCATCTAAATAAATCTACAAAACTATGTTCAAGTTATTACTTACCTTGCTGTTGAATGCTGTAGGCGTATGGAAGATGGTGAGGAGGTGGGAGGAAGAGAGGAGTTACTGTTTGGAAGGGGAGTCCCTTTCCATTATCACATCAGGCAGTGAGGACTTCACTGGTATGCACACTCTGGCACATTTTGCCTGCATACCACTAGGACTTGCTTGTTTTACTAAGAATTTGTCTAATGACACTTGTTTTTCCCTACATTTTAACACTTGTCTGTAGTAAGACATCACATTATCATTTAAAAGGTCAATGCAACGGCCTGCTACAGCTTTATCTGGGTGAGTTTTTTCAACAAAACTTTGTAGTTCTTTCCATACTTCATACATTTTCTTAATCAAGAAGGGACATCCTCTACTGCCTCTACTCACAGCTATTTTCTTAGGTTGAACCTTTCCAATGGCTTTCTTGAGACCCATGGCAAGATATATAATGACAACTTTTATGCTCAAATGGCCAAAAAACCGATAAAAAACTAAATCCTTGTGAAGAATTCAGGTGGGATAGTCACTGGACACGAGACACTGGTAAACTGAGGCGCGATCGTCATGCCACCACGCGCCAGTCGGCCTGTACACGTATCAACAAACTCGCGTTGCGAGGTAACCCTCGCCTTCCGAGACATATTTTCCGAGGAAATCCTGCTCGTCTTCCGAAAAACTCGCATACAGGGACAATTGCATTCCGAGGTACCATTTTACCTGCCAACCAGGAGAAAACCGACACCTGATACAACAACCTCATTATTTTAGATTTTGGCAAGTAACTGACTTATTTTAACCCAAGTAGCCCAACCATTTGGTACTAAACAGTAGAATGACTGTCACTCTTCTTGCAGATCGCCATTCAATCCTTGACTGTCCAAGTCACTTTTTTGTAATAATTACCTTACCTTGCCTTTAACCCAAGTAAAAATTTTATAAAGTACCATGACAATAAGCAAGTAAGAGAAGCAAATATTGTCCCACCTGTTTGTATTGCCCTTAGCTTTGGGCTGTAGGTTAATGGCTTGGGTATCTTCCAAGTAATTCACACAATTTACATCTCCAGATACATCTTCCTTGAGGGTAACCGAACCTGTGTCAAATATTTCCGAGCTGTCCTGGTAGTTTCCTTGCTTGTGTTCTGAAACTAGAAACATCGATGTTGTTGATTATTGCTCAGTAGTAGCAGAGTGGGCAATGTGTTATGCTCAGTGATGTATTTATTTAACTGTTTAGAGAAAAGGTCAATTTATGTGGCAATTTATATCTAACTCCTTCCTGAAAGTTTCTCTTCTCAAGGAGGCTCGCTCACCTTTTCAAGCTCTCCCCACCTCCCTACATTTTCCTTTGTGTATTGTTGCTCTCTTTTTCAAGGTATTGGTCATCTACCTCTACCATACAATTCCTATATTAAACCAATGTACACCTTTTTAGTTAAAACAATCTTCAGCCATTCTACAAACACGTTCAATACCACCTACAGTTTAGGTATTGGTTTCCATCCACTTCACATTTCATTCCCTCATACATTTCTCGTATACTACCTTATTTCTATACTCATCCTACATACAGTATTTCTAATTCCCATTGTTTGTACATTTGAGCACTCTGACCCTTTCAATAACATAGCCTCACTATCACATCAAAACTGGAAGTAATATACTATTTATCAGTCCTTTCTTAACTCCCACACCAACATTTCTTCTATTTGAAAATTCCTTCTATTCATTATATTATTCACCTTCTCTACTACTCTTCCACTCATTACCGTCTCTTATTTCCCCTTTGATGATGTCACTTTTATATAGCATTGCCCCAAAGCATTTCAAACTTGCTACATCTTCCAAAATGTTACATTTTTCTCTCATTTTTATCTTGGTTTAAAATCACTGTCTTGCCAACCTATAACAATCTACAAAATCCACAACATCCTTTACTCTTCTCTCAAGCACCATAACCTTACTTTTCTATCACTGACCATTGGCTTTCTTTTCTTACATTATCAACCTCATTTACAATCTTCTGCAATTCCTCCTCACTCTCAGCAAAGAACACCTCAACATCTACATATAAACATGTAAATAATAATTTATCTCCATCATTATCTAGTGTACTTCCACTCCTGCTCCAGATGTTCTTGCCTTTACCTTCCTAACTAATCCATATAATGTATAAAACTATAAATAATAAAATAAATTTCTCTGCAGGTATTCCCTATCCAAAACATCCATATCTATCAACATAATTTCCTACCATCTTGTTGCTTCTCAAAAGTATCATTCAGTTGATCTCAGAACATTTCCATCTTTCTTTCCTTTAACATTCTTCTTACACATTGTAGTAAATTCACTTATTTACATATATTTTACACTAAGAAATTTTTATATACTGTACATGCATTCATATGACTGATATGAACAAAACTACCCCACTTCTTTTTATCCCAATAGTTTTCATCCATTCCCGACAAAAATTCTTTCAAACTCTGCCACCATTTTCATTTTTCGTTCTTAACTCAACTGCCCTTCAAATTACAATGTATCTCGCTCATTACTAACACACAACTTTCTATTTATAAAAATTATATTAAAAACACATACACACACAAAATTCCTCATCCACTCTCTAAGGAATGGAAAGTGCAACAATATTTCATTGTTAACCACTGAAATCCAAAAACATAATTGCTAACAGACTCATACTACTGTAATTAGTTTTCATACAAAAGGTATTTTTGCACTGCTACTTTACATCTATAGCAATACAACAATTATTCATATGGTAATGAAAAGTCTTTAACACACATCCTGTTCTCTAATTTCCTTCTCCAGCATACTTCTAGCAAATCTATATATTTTACTTCCAAAAAGTTAATTAAAAATACAAGCCTTATATGGGGTACTATTTCTAGACTGATTCTCAATACTGTACAGTAATGCCATTGGATGTCTTACCATCACCAGTACGAACAAATTGTTTTCTTTCTCTACGGGCTTTAAGCTGCTCCTTTTTCTTTTTTCCACTAAATGCTGAGCTGCGGTGAGTCTGTGGCATGATGACTGCAGGGCCTCACTCCTTACGATCTATTGAAAATTACAGCGTATATAGTCAAAAGATTTTCATTCATATTTGTTTCAGAAAGCAAAAAATCAACAAATATCTTTATGAAAACCAAAAAAATATTGTTGTGTTCATATGTAAAAACCATGAATGAAAGATCTGATTAAAGTACTGCATTTAATAATAATACAATAATGAACTGATAAGGTTAGGTAATTATGAGGAGAAAGTGTCATGCCAGTACAGTATCACTATATAGCATAATGAACTGATACTACAGTACAATATTAGTAAATTGGTAGCATAACTGATCAGATTAGGCCTCTAAAAAAATTCTAAGCAGTCACCATACATTCCTGAACCCATTACAGTATGTAACTCTCTACACTGCAATGAAACAAGCATACTTTTATAAGAAATTTGCTACAAAATAAAAATAATTATGACCATGGAAACATTTCTTGGTCTCTAGTAGAGCTTTATGCCATCTCTTTAGGATAGCATATCCAAGACAGAACGATATTACTTTGAATAAATCAAAACTAAGATAATTCTATTAAATTATAAATTTATGTTATTGTAAATGTAAACACTATTTGGCCTGTACTAAAAATTGTATATTAATTTCAAATGGTAATGATATAAATGTCCTTATTACAGTATATGCTACAAAGATTAGATGACATACCATCGCCCACACAAATGCTTGAAGTATGTGAAGAGAACAAATTACAGGATACTGTATATCCATAATGCAGGACATAATCAGGAAGAACACTGACAAACTAAAAGTTTCAAAAACCCCAGGTGTGGATGGAATTCAGTCCAAAGTCATAAAGGAACTGGCAGATGAATTATGACTACCACTGAAATGCCTTTACAGAAAATCACTGAACCAAGGGATAGTTCCTCCTAAATTGGACATACTATACATTGTACATGTATGCAAATGTCACCTATTTATAAAAAAAAAAACAAAGGGTTCAGCAGAAAACTACTGTTTAATCAGGTTGATATCACACATCTGCAAGCTCATGGAGAGAATCCAAAGGGAGATAATCATTCACCATCTCTGTGAACAATCGTGTCAAATTGACGCATCAAGGGTTTATTAAAAATAGATCCTGCATTACAAACCTGCTTACGTTTTTTGGAAACAGTAACCAGCAACTCGGAAGACTTCTGGTAGATGTTGACATGGACTAAAGCTTTTGATAAGGCACCACATGAAAGACTAGCAAGAAAATTACAGCCACATGGAATAAATGGTAGAATGCTAGAATGGGTAAAACAATGGTTAAAACAAAGAAAAAAAGGGGGTCATGCTGAACAGGAATGAATCTGCCTGGAGAACTGTGGCGAGTGGGGTACCACAAGGGTACATTTTAGGCCCAACTCTTTTTTGGCATATACTATACATCAATGACATACATGAGAATATTACAAACCACATCACCAAATTTGCTGATGACACCAAGAGATAGTAATGTCGAAAGTGAAAATGATATTGAAGCCTTACAATGACATCTGAATGAGCTCCATAAATGCTCAGCACAACCACTTACGCTGGATGGTAGAGCAACAGTCTCGCTTCATGCAGGTCAGCGTTCAATAACCGACAGTCAAAGTGGTTGTGCACCACTTCTTCCTCCCCATTTAATCTCTCATACTTATCCCAATCCCTTCCAAGTGCTATATAATTATAATATCTTGGCACATTCTCCTGATAGTTCTCTTCCACAAATGGTGAAAAGACTAGCAAATGCTTTTCAATATAAAAAAAATGCAAGACCTTGCATATGGACCATAACCCATGTCACAACTACTAAATTAACAATATTACCTTGCAGCAGATTGATGAAGAAAAGGACCTTGGAAGCAAGAATCCATCATTCACTGAAAGTTGCAGAACTAGCGGCAGTAAAAAACTAACCAAACCCCTAGGAATAATCAAGCGCATCTTTGACTTTAAGGAAAGTTATTCAATTGCATAAATCTCTGGTGCACCCTCACTTAAATTATTATATCCAAGCATACAGGCCTCATCTTCAAGACAGACAGACATCGGAGAAGGTTCAACACCAAGCAACAAAAATCATTCCAGAACCAAGCCAACTTTCATAACAGGAACGGTTAAGGGCCACGAGGCTAACAACACTGCAAACCAGGTATGACAGGGCGGATCTCATCGAAACTTTTAAAATACTGAACAATTTATAGGATGTTGACCCCAGACCACTCCTTCAAAAGGTAAGATGTAACACAAACAAAGAGCAACAGTTTCAAGCTCAACAAGCCACAGTGTAGGACTGAAAATACAAAATACTTTTTCACCAACAGGGTTTTAACCCCATGGAACTGCCTACCCACAGAAGCCCTAAATGGCAAAATTCTACTGAATTTTAAAATCCATCTAGAAAAAATTATCAGGATAAATGGAAGGACGGAGGGGGAGGGGGAATTCTGGCAAGCCGCCGACTTCCCGTCATTGTCGAGGCCACTAGTGTAAGTGGACTTTAGAAAAATTCAGGCTTCGCAACCACACTGGCAGGTGAATAAAGGTGCCTTATGACAAAACATAACCCAAAAGGCAGCAACTATAACACATTTGCCAATAAACCCCAGGTTGAGCAGGAGTAAGCCATCCACACACCATCAAAGTTGAACCACGAATCCTCTACAGATGCAAATTGCTCAGCTTAAGAGGCTATTGTGGCCCAATTGTTGAACCCATTAAGCTATAAAAAAACTATTGATATATACATTAAACTGTGCAACCAACCTATCAATATACAATAGCAAGTCACAGCCCTGTGTACTTTGCTTAGCTTAATGACTGTTGAGGTTCAGTTCCTGAGCCCACTGCAACCTTCCACTCTACTACGGCCCGCAGAATGGGTAATGAGGTGCAGAGTAACTGAACAAACTCAAATGATCTTACGTGGTTTATAACAGTGGCCGCGATATGGGTGAACGTGGGTGTATCTCACGTGGTGCAGGTGTCCAGCTCGAGGAGTGTATGCTGGAGGCCGGCCATGGACCGCCTCACCCACCATTCACAACAGACTGGCCCACCTGTTTGTGTGTTTGACCTGCTCAGTGCACACGCGTGTCATAAATCATGCATATTATACATGTAATGAAAAGTGGGAACATATATATTAAACATATATATATGTATGTGTGTGTGTATGTATTGTATTGAAGGATACAGATTTGTATATGCAAAATCATGTTGTAGTTTTGTGAGTACACAATTTGAAAATGTTACTATTTAATATCATAGCATTATTTATAAATAATGTAATTGATGGACCAAGCAAAAGTTTTAGAATGATCTTCATGTGAATACCGTCGCATTTTGTTTTATTAACAACTGTACGATTATACAAGTCAATCAAGAGCAAATTATATGGGTGCTATAATTAATGCTGTAGTTACTCGCTTATCTAAACGAATTTTATAATTCAGTTTCCGAGCCCACTTGATGTATGCCTCTGTAACCTTTACAATTATCACTAATATATATAAAAATATATATGAGTGGTGCTCAATAAACTGAAAATGAACGTCAAGCCTCTCAAAGTCGCGTTTAAGTGAAATAAACTGTAAGATATGTTGTTATTGTTCCCGCCTCTTTTTTTTAAGGAGTTTTTTGTTAATAATAATTCCTTAAAATAATTAAATAACAAGGAGTTAATAATAACTCCTTGTTAATAATAATAATAATATTATAATTAAAAAGCTATGGTACTCACCTAGTTGTGCTTGCGGGGGGTTGAACTTTGGCTCTTTGGTCCCGCCTCTCAACTGTCAATCAATTGGTGTACTGAGCCTATTCGGCTCTGAACTTATAGCTTGTTAGTCAGAGTTTGTTTGTTTTTATATTGAGGTATTTGCTCCCTGATTCCGTGTATGACTAACCATCCTGTGAGATGGGAATATTAGATAAACTTATAGCTAGTTTTTTATCTACACTGTGTAATCTTTCATATATAATAGGGTAGCAGCACATTGCTGTGTATACCTAAGCTTACAAAAAAATCTATCGTATTTGAATTTACCTGCATATCTACAATTGAAACTTTATTATTATTATTATTATTATTTTAAATAGAGAGTCTTCCTCCACTGCCTAATGCAACAGAGTTAATTGTTAACAACATTTGTTAACTACCCTCATATTGAAAACATTCTTTCTAATGTCTCTGTGGCTCATTTGGGTCTTAGGTTTCTTAGCGAGGAGTAAGTTTAGGTGTTTATTACTAAGGTACTCACTGAATACCTTAGTAATTGGGTTGAGCTTAGGTATACATAACAATTATGTGCTGCTACCCTACCCTGTGATGCGATGTTTATTAATATTATATATATATATATATATATATATATATATATATATATATATATATATATATATATATATATATATAGTTACGGTAATCTCCTGCTTAGGCAGTAGATCCTGCTTAATTGTTCCCTATATCGCCTATTCACCAACGTATCTGCATGTTCCAACATAAGGAATCAACATCAACGTCAACAACAATATGTGCTCAAAAAGTTTGGGGTGTCTAGACAGTCACCACCCCCCCTCCACCCTCTAGTACCCGAGACACCTGGACACCTGCTGTCTGGGCAGAAGCCCAGACGCCACTCGCTGGTCGACCAGACGCTAACTGCTTGTTTAACTGCCGGCCGATGGTTACCTATAAGATTCGCGCCATTTCTGACGTTATGTTGTTATAGATTCAGCTACTCGGAACAAGTTATAATCATTTCTGACGACCTGGCCCATATATAATGGCCCATACTGCCCGAAACACTTTGCGTAATAGTGGCTTTAGGCATTGTATGTACTAGCTCTATCTATAAATTCATCAATATTTGTATCACACCTTGTATGTATGTACTTTACCTGAATAAACATTTGAATTTGAAATTGAATTTGAATATAAGTGGCTAACCGGCGTCCAGTGATCATTACAGGCTATTCATGCCCGTGCCACCTCTTGGGTGGCTTAATCTTTATCAATCATTCAGTGATCACAATACACTTCGTGCTCTCAGCAGTAACATCTACTCTCGCCTCCCCCAGGAGACAGTAGACAGGTACAGCTTTTGTATAATGCATTAATTGCACCTTTGCCATTAATGTAACTTTCATATGTGTATATTTCTCTTGTAAATTGTGTTTAAGCCAAGTGGATAAGGGGTTTTGTTTTGTATGTTATTAAAGTCATTTTTGTTATGTTAAATATTTAAAGTTTTTCATTCTTTGGTTTTTACCCGCAGCTCTCACAGTAGAGGTCAGAAGCAGTCTTATTTATTTTGTTTTACTTTTTTTTTATTAATGTGAGATTGGCACACCAGCCAGAATAGCCACTGCTTTATTACAGATTCTCGTCACACTATATTCTGTATGTATATATTGTGAGAAAAGTTGTGAAAAGAGAGAAGAGAGAGAAACACACACACAGGGTTAGTTTAGTTAATTTATTATGCACCCCATACCCATCTTGTGGGTGGTAGTGGAAAGGGTTACAGAGGCACATATAATAGGCTCAGGGACTGAACCCCACAATTCATTTAGTTACGTAAGTCTTGATGAGCTAGTTACAAAATTCAGTACACATCATTGGGTTCGAGATCGATCACAAGCACAGTTTCTAAATTAAGCAACTGGCATATGAGGAGAGCTAGTGCCACAATTGATATGTTTGTCCTGCACACCGCCCCCATCCAGTGGGCAGCGTGGATAGGTTACAATCACTTAGTCACTATCTACAGTTAGCAAACTGGGGATATATTTGGCTAAGAATTCTGGTAGCAGATCATTTTGAATTAAATATTTACACATCTCTGGAACATTTGTTATAGAATTGTCTCTGAATTCACGTATCTTTTCGCACTCCATTACATAATGACGGAGAGTGGTGTGTGAATAATTATGTTGACACAGTTTACATCATACTATCATGCACAAGGAGCCACACATCAATAGATCATCCAATATAATCAGCTAGCAGACTTCTAGATGTTACTACTTCTCGACTTAGACTCGGTTACAAATATCTCTGGGAATTCTCATTATCTGCTGATGTAAACCTGACCCAATGTAAACTGTGTCAACAACAGAGAGAGAGAGAGAGAGAGAGAGAGAGAGAGAGAGAGAGAGAGAGAGAGAGAGAGAGAGAGAGAAGAGAGAGAGAAGAGAGACAAGAAGAGAGAGAAGAGAGACAAGAAGAGAGAGAAGAAGAGAAGAGAAGAGAAGAGAAGAGAAGAGAAGAGAAGAGAAGAGAAGAGAAGAGAAAGATAGAGGAGATAGGTACATAAATAATTTCTATTTCTATTATATACACGGCTTATATGGAAGGCCCCACCCGCTCCTCAAGACCGAACTATTATTTAATTATGTCTGTTAGGTGTGGACGTGTACGCTGGTATCTATATCACACAGGCCTACGATGTGCCTTGTACTGATGAATAATTAAGTCTTCTAAGAAAATATATAATTTTTATGCAAATACTTATTTTCCAGCTCTTTTTCAACTTATTCGCTGATTGGATAACAGAATGTCTATCGCTACGCGATTGGTCAACTATTACTAAACGCTCTCGTCATTGGCCAAATACTTGTAATGCGAGCTCTGATTGGCTAGTGGTGCGAGTGGTGAGTTGGAACCTAGAAGTAAACAAAAGTTGAAACTGGGCGTCTGCTGAGTCTGACACGCCGAACTGAGAGAAAAAAAAGTTATCATCATTATTGACTGCCCGAGGGTAAGTGAAGCCAAAAAAAGCGATTATTGGCCAATTAGTTCCATGACTGGGCGATATATTATGTGCTTCCTGGTGGCTGTGTGTAGTGTTTGTGAGTTGAGTGAGTGCTGTGTCCAGCTGAGAGGTCCTGAGCAAATGTGTGTGATTTAGAAGTAACGATAGTAATTAAGAGGGAATTACCAGATATATACCATTAATAGGTGATAACAAAATGTGACTAATAGGAAATTGTAAATATGTGGCTAATAGTGAATGACTGCATGATTGAGAACCCTAGATTTGAGGAATATATCTTTTGAATTGAATAATGAATGCATGATTGATAAATTAATAATTTCCTGAGCAGTTTAATGTACAGGGTGTCTAGGAATTAATCACCCCATTATAAGCCTTAATAAATTGTTATAGGAGGTATCTTAAAATAATAGGCAACAATAACACACTGAAGACTTGTTTTAATCAAGTACACTATTGTACCACTTAACCAGAATTCTATAAACTGCCACATGATCCCCATAAGTAGCATGCATAACATAAAAGATAATAAAGGATTTTGTTCAAAATATTAAGAAGCATCATGTTTCGTGTGATGGAAGCTAATGTCTCTCCAATCTGATGTTTTAATTTTGTGATATTATTAATTGCATACACTGTCCTCTATGCAGCCCCATAAACAAGAAATCTAGAGACATGACATTCGGGGAACAAGGAGGCCTTGGGCTAGGCCATCTTGCCTAATGCATTGAGATGGGCACGTGTGTCTGTTGATTTTACTGGACAGATAGAATTTCGCTTCATCGCCGAAAAAGATAGTGAAAAACATGGTCATTCTTATCGAAAGTTATTTGTTGACATTTGTCAGAAATTGTTATTTGAAACATCAGAAACTTATGTTTCTGCAAGGTTTGTTACTTTGTATACATAAGTTTCAATCTCTTGTAAGCCACATTATGCACTGTTGAACACAGGATGTGCCGTTCTTGGCTTCCTTGGTAGATGTTTTTGTTTCGTTTTTTGAAGGGTTTCAGATAAACACATCATGAACTGCTATCCTATAGTCAGATACACTAGGCCTACTAGCTCCTTTCTGAAGTAGGATGCTGCTAGTTCTAGAAATTGTTTCAGCCATTGCCAAAGTGATTGCTTTATTGGTGGAGTTTTCTTATATCTTTCCCAAAAATGTCTGTACAGTAATTGGAGATTTGGTTTCCTACAGCCACAGCACACACATTGCTGTTTCTTGTACAGTACTGTCATCATTGTGCACATAGTGGATGGCCTGCTAAATAAAAATTCTTATTACTGCAAACCATTTTAAAAACTATAATGAATTTATTAAGGCTTATAATGGGGTGAATATTTGTGAACCCCCTGTATAAATTGTCAGCAGTTTACTCATGACTGATTTCAGAAGCTTTCTACTCTTGTAGCCTGACTCAAGGAAAGGCTTCTGTGGGAATATTCTGGTCTTTGAGCTAGCTTCTAATATTAGCCTACATAGCCATTAGAATCTGATAAGGCACTTTCTACAGGAATGTACCTTGTTCTCTCTACTAAAATATTTGTTGTAACATAAAACTCAACTCGGTAAATTGGTTAATGCCATTTCTTTCCATCAAAGAAATGGCACTGCCTAACTTAGTTTTATTTGAATTAAAAAAGAAAAATGGAAAAAAAAGATAGTATTTTGGAGAGGTGAACATCTGTATTAATAACGTAGTATATATTTACCAAATCACATTAATACAATGTGAGTATATATGAGTATTCAAGGTAAGTACAGTATACAATACAAGTACAGTACTGAATAATGTATATATACTATACAGATGTCCCCTTGGCACAGTGGTAAGACACTCGCCCAGCACTTTGCGATCGCTTTGGCCTGGGTTTGTATCCTGGCCGGGGAGGCACCAGTCCTTAACTGTAGCCTCTGATCACCCAGCAGTGAATAGGTACCTTGTTGTTAAACGATTTGGCGGGTTATATTCTGGAGAGAATTAGGATTAAGGACTTGCCCAAAATGCTATGCGTGCTAATGGCTTTACAAGAATGTAAGACCTCTTGTATATCTAGTGTACAGTACATGCTTCAAAAATCACTGTACAAGTTATTAAATTCTGAATGAAATGTATTGATTTACATATTATCTATCATTAGCCAGGCAGAGATGCAAATTACAGAGGCATTTGTTAGTTGCTCTTGAAGATAGAAAGAAAGACTACATAAAGTTTGGCTGTACAGAATATGTATTATACAATTAAAATCCCTATCTGAAAATTGAGTCAAGTTGTTCCTTTCCTTTGTCCACTTGCTTTGTCCATTAGTGAGAAAACTTGCTCTTCATTTGCATTGTAGGCAAGAGTAACAAGAGAGAACCGTTCAGTTTTTAACAGTTCTGAATGATGTTAAATATTTGGATTTCTCAAAATATTTGGACTACTACTGGTGTGCCAGCAAATTATTGAACTCACTGTTGATACCTTAAGAGTTTCTTTAAATTGCTGAACTGATCAAAGTACATTGGTATCACTTTGTATGTTCTTATTCAAGTATTTTCTAATAAGCACAATTATTTTGTACATGGGCACAATATTACAAGGAATAGTAAAGGGCCCTGGGAAAACCATTGGGCATATTTAAAACCAAATTCTATGATTCATTTTAATTTTGAGACTCCCCCAGTTTTCATTCACAATTATGGATCCTTTTTTCTTTGAAAGTAAGGTTTCAAGGCTTGGGCATTGGAAATATGCTAGATGTACTTAGTTAAATCTCTTTACAGACAGGTTCTCTTTGAAACTGTCCTTCATATGACAGGTTGAAATTAATATTACACTCGTTGCAATTGGCCTGTAGAGCATGTGAAATATTATAGTATGAATAGTAACACTTTTAATATGGCTCTAATCACATTTTTGATGACTTTTGTAGACGGATTCAATTCCACAAGAAACAACTAATCTTGGGAAAACTATTGAGAATATTTAAAACCAAATTCTATGGTGTTTTTATTTTGAGTAGGCAAGGTTTTTGTTTACTCAGATATGGCCCTGCTACCTTTTGAAAATGAATTTTGAGGCTAGGGACGTGCAAAATGAGCTAGATGTTAAATTTCTTTACAGGCATGTTTATTTGGTAGTCTATTATGTATATTATAGGTTGAAATAAAAATTTTGCCAAGTGAAATTAGCTCACAAAGCATGGGAAATGCACCTGTGCGAGCATCTTCAGTTGCAATGAATCCCTCACTGCAATGAAATGGGGTTGGTCCCATACAGTTTGTAGAACTGAGGTTGTACGGTGGTTTAGGTATTTGATAATTTGCAGTGATTTGGTTCTCACTGTTAAGGACACGAAGCCTGTTAGGATTATCAAGGTCTCCTAGGCCAACTACTGACCTTTCCCACGATGTAACTGGTAACAGTTCCATAACTCCTGGGTACCTATTTTCTGCTAGATAAATACTGTAAAAGAATTGGGTAAAAGGAAGTGTCCAAATGTGTGTATCCTGCCATGAGAATTGAACCCAGGACCTATCAGTTGTGAACCGGCTACACTGACCACTGTGCTATATTTTTAACTTATACGATACAGTGTAAACAGTCTTAAAGTATTAAAATAAGTGGTTGAGGTATACATTTCATTGAGAATTTGCAATAATTTGGAATTTAATGCAATTAGTCAAATTTAATCAGGGTGCAGTAATTAAAAATGTAGGCAAAATGCTACTCTTAGAGTTCAGGTCATGGCAGGGTTGCTATAGTATGATGGATGGATGGTGATAATAAGAACTGATGGAGATATGTAGACTTACAAAAGAAATGGGGGGGGGGGGGCAAGAATAATTCCATTGCACAAAGGTGATGATACAGCTTATGTAAATAATTACAAACTGATATCATATCTATTATTAAAATATTAAAAAAAATACAGTGTATAGTATATTCAAACAGCTACACATTTGCCTTGTAAATTTAAACATTTGTGTACTAAGATCCTGCTAATTTAGCTTCAGATCTTAAAAGTTACAGTAATGGCATTATTCAGAAGGCACTAAGCTAGTATTTAGCCATACTGGCATAGCATTTACTCATGGTAAGTGTCTTAATCTACTCACTTGGGGCAAAATTAATTCCTAACTGGCCTTAAACATCAGCACTATAGAATTTCTACTCTTATGATGTGTAGTGCAATGGTTGGCTCACAACTAGTTGGATCTGAGTTCGATTATTGGACAGGATGAGATGTTTGGGCATCTGTCCACACAACTAACAAATTGTCCCTCAGCTCTTATCACTATTATTCATTAATTTATCCCTGTCTTACTTAAGATATCTGTTTGTGGGACTTAACTATCAAACACCTCATTGCCAGCAAAAAATCAGCAAAATTGAAATTGCCCAGCAAAAAATCAGCCAACAGAACTACTGTATGTAACAAAATGTCTTCAGACAAGTTCAAAATTTCTCTTCAAATACCAAACATGCTGAATATAAACACGCTGTACTCTTACAGAAACCTTGTACCATATAGTACAGTACAGTACTGAACTTCAATACAAACCCTGACTTGAAATTCTTCATAGATTGGTGTAATGGAATCCATAAATATCACACAGAAAATGAGTATGTATTTCTTTGACCATGACACACCCGTGGCCCGAGATGGGTTCCCGCCGGCTGCCCCTGGAGTCCCTGGAGGGGGGACTGGTATCTTCACCATGCATGCGTGATTGGTACCCGAGAGTTTATTAATGCTTTTCAAAGTTTCGTTTCAAATCCACGTTTAAAAATTCAGCTTAAGGGTTTACCTTCTATTTGAGTTACTCTTATTACAATAAACTCGTTTCTTTGCTATCCCGTTTTGCTCCATCAAACGTTGCTGTGTTTGGCGTACAAGGACTTGCATTGTTTGTCTTTCATCTATGCAGACGAATCATGTTCCTCTAACATTTACATCACCGCTCACAAGTTCAGCATAGGATGCACAATAAACAAAATAAAAAAGACAAAACCTTGCTTAACCTAACGAGTGTTTGGCCTTTTTGGTTAAGGCTAGCTTACTTATTCCACCCTTACATGTACAAATGCGACTTTACTAATCTAGCAGTGCATAACAATGATAATATGTTGGTCGCTTATGGTACATGTTTTAGCCTAGCCGTATTCATAAGAACATAAAAACAAGGTAACTGCAGAAGGCCTATTGGCCCATACGAGGCAGCGCCTATTTATAACCACCAATCCCACTCATATACATGTCCAACCCACGTTTGAAACAATCGAGGGACCCCACCTCCACCACGTGACGCGGTAATTGGTTCCACAAATCAACAACCCTGTTACCGAACCAGTATTTACGCGTGACAGTGAATACCAGCATTATCCTCACTTTAATAAGACTTAATCGAAATCCTCAGATTAGGCAAAATTGTGATTAGTTTTGTCAATAAAGATGTTAATAATAATAAGTATTTACCCAAGTCTTTCCAAGTCAAGTCTTATAGTCTGATTTTGTTTATATTTTATAACTATCGGAACTGCCTATAAACAGTCTTGCCCAACAAATCGTTATCATAGAAAATATGTTCACGTAAGATTAGTTTTCTACACTGCTATAGGCACCACAGCGAGTTTCTTTATACTGTACTCTCAAAAATATAACAAATATACTTGTCAGCTTTCAGAATACGTCATTGGGATGAGACGTGTAATAATAATAGTTTGTGTCTGTGGGCAGGCAGCCAGTGTATATATATAAATGTCAGGCTTGTATCGAGATTCCCCTCAAGGTCAGTTTTCTGACCCTTCCCAAGATTCAACCCCACAACAAGCTAACTTCACAACAACACCTAACATTTCTGTCCCAGCCGGGATACGAACTTGGAATTCCCGATTATTGGTCGATATAACGAACCTAACTTCTACCGGGATCCTTTGTTAGTAGTTCCACTGGCGCATTAGCCTATTGGACCGTCATCGATATGTATTTTTAGGAAATCAGTTTGTCTACCCGGACTCTAAGCAATAACAACACATCCAGGACCTTAGGCACTGGTATTAGAACTTGGAACGCTTCTTTCCAAGCTTGTGTGCTGTGTTAACGACCCATCCCAAGTCTATTTGGCCTAGAATATTACACTTCAAGGTAGCCAGCCCTGGTTAATATAAATAGTTGACCTCGTGGTAAAGTAGACTACAGATTTTGTTACATAATAAGTGAATCTATACCCTGGTACAATAAATACACTTGCAGCCGGCATCCTCGGTTAACGTTACTCCTGGATATTGTGCCTTTTGGGGGGTTATGGACGCAAAGAAGGTGGCCAAAGGAAAATAATCTGTAACAGCAAGAATTCGTCTTTGACCTATGGGATGGAAACGACAGCAAAGTTGCCGAATTTTACGGAGATTGAGAACGCCTTAACCACTACTGAGAGACTGTTATGGAAAACACTATTCGTCAAAAATACATTGTTTGTAAAATATTTCCATACTTTGCACCCACAAAGATAACGTAAATTTAAGAGTTGGTAAATGTTAATATCTCTGACTGTTGTCAGGCCTATCAACTTTCCAGGTAACCTTAGCAAACTTTGTTCTCCTATTAATTAGTACAACCCTTGCAATTTTTCAATGTAAATTTCTTTTATGTCATCATTGAAGATAAAACCATTCATATATTCGAAGCATTAAACTAACACATGCTAGTGTATAGATGACCCGCATTGGGACTTGAGTGAGGCGTCAAGGTTGTCCCCAAGACCCAGGCGGACTCCTCTGCTTCACCCAGAGTGCCAGCCGCATAGTTCCAACTTGGTTAGTGCCAACGTGGAGCTACATACGTCACTTCCCGCTCCTTCCCCCCCCCCCGCACAGGCACCGCCTTCCCTGCCCGCTGGCACCTCCTACACCCACCCTCGCCCCTTTTGTGGCCATGTTACCTTTTCTTTGCCCATTCATATCCTAATGAGAGCAATATCCACCAGTGGCGTTGGTTCGACGGTGAATCAACGTTTTCAATGTTAATGACGTTGAATCAAAGCTTATAACGTTGAATTTGCGTTGCTCTTGGGATATTGTGCCCACTGGGGTGTTGCAAGGCTGTAGAGAAAGTGCTCTAGTTGCTATTTGTTTCAAAGGAAAAAAATCCATAGTACCGAATCCTGGAACTTGGGCTAATTCTTTATTTGCTGAAGAAAAAATCGACCATACTTACTAAATCATAAAGTTTCTCCTGTTGCGGTTAATATTCTCTGACAATAATTTATACGAAATTACAGTACGAAGGCTAGAATAATAACGCTGCTTTATTCAACGTTCACAGATAGCCAACTTTCTTGGCCATAATGCGTTTGAAACACGATATTGGTCAGTTTTGTGTGTGTAAATCACGAAAATTAACGTGATGAAAAATGTGTCAGACCACGGAGGAAAAATTGAAACAGGAATTACCTTAAGTACTTTCGTATATTAATACATATATAATTTATATATATTATAGATAATATATTATTTTTTTATCGCTCGATACTTGCAAACGATGTGTTTGAGTGGATATAAATTGGAGCTACTTAATATGGGCCAATATAACCCTACTGTAGTTTCCATTATTCATATATTTAATATATAGGCCATGAAAGGTTAAAGGATGACGGTTTCGACTGAACAAAGGATAACCTAGAACTGGTTAATTAAGGAAGTTCTCTTACTGAAGTTAAGAATGAAAGGTATTTACAGTATTCCAAAAGCGCAGTGGTGTCAACACTGTCGACTTGTAGCCATATGGTTGGAGGTTCGATTCCCGCGCCAGACCAGATATTTGTCCACGTTTCTTTACCCATGTCTATTTCCCTAGAAGTAATTAGGTACAGCCGTTAGGCGGGTTGTGGGGAGTATTAGTCGTTGGTCTAGGTTTAGGGGGGGGGGGGCGGTGTTCAGTAATGGTCTAGGTTTAGGGGGGTCTTCAGTAAGCCTGAGAATCTTCCTATGTTCGACAGCGGGAACTATACTACCGTGTATGAAGTCTAATATATAGTTCATTCAGTTTATGGATTGGACAGATGCCTATAGACAAGGGTATGCATAGACAGAATGACCCTGCAGAGGTTGATAGGCCTTAAACTGAATATTGTCTTATCACTGACAGCTTCGGAAGATGAGGAATCCCACAGATTTTCCCCAATGTGGGAAAAATCATGTGTTTTGCGTCCTATATTGTGGCTTGTTACGCTTCGTTTCCCAATGTGTCCGTTACATTTAGTGTAATATCCATGCTTATCGTTAGTTCACTACCAGTTCTTGAACCCGTTCATAGGTTCGGTATGATGCACATCGCCCTAGGCCAGCTACTGATACATTGATCGGTAACCCAGCAGCTAATGCTCACAGGATAGTATGGCATAAATAATAAAGTTGTCTTGTTGCACGAGTGTTCCTGCAGCCTGCTTGGAGGAGGCGTGTTTCTTTCATCAACCACGTCACCTCCAGCAGCCTCCTCCTCAAATGTCTACCCCCCAACCACCGTCTTCTAGATTAATCTACAGCATTCATTAATAAAGTTTGTTCCAAGATACTTTTATCATGTTACTTCAATCTAGGAAAAAATGCCAGGGCTGAAGAAACTTTATTTAAACTATATTTATATGGGAACGTTTCGACGCATTCCACGTCATCGTGTGTGACGTGGCGGCTCCCTCTCCAACCCCCCCTTCGGCCACTCTTGCGCCTATCTCGTGTCATATTGGCTGAATAAAGACAGTTTGTTTTAAAGTGACTTTGATGAAGTATTGCTAAATTATTTATATAATTTAAAAAAGGTGTTAGACTGAATAAAAGATTTTACAAAAGACTGAAATTAATGATTTATGGCCTGAGTGTTTATCGCGCTCTCTTCCCCCACCATCGCTCCCCCGCTCTCCGTTTTCTGTTGATTTTCCCTTATCCTTGTCCACGTCATCACTTATTTGGTTTTCCATTGTTGGGGACAGGAAACTTGACTTTAACAGGCATTGAGGTGTTCCCCGTTTGCCAGACTTTTTCTCAAGATGCTACCCACAATAGTTTCCTAACTCCCGAGTACCATGTACCTATTTACTTTCTAGGAGACATTCTCAAACGTCTCGCCCTGTTCGGGAATTGAACTATTGTCTAATCGGTCGTGGACAGCGCTAAATATTATTTACTGCTATTTAATATTATTTGCTTAAGCTTTGGTACACTACTATATGCCGCTTCGCAAATCTGTATGAAGGGTTACAGAGTTAAGGTCATGGGGGGACCTTTGACAAGACGTCGGCTTCCTGTTCTCGTCGAAGCCACAGGTATATTCAGGTAAATTGAGGTTAAGAGCTAGGTTCGCATAATATCCCATCTCGAAGGATGGTCTGTGATAAATAAGATGCAAGTCGAATCTACTATAGCCTGCACTAGCAAAGTTCAGATATCTTTGAGTGAATGGAGGTTAGAAGCCCAGGCTAGGTGCCGCGTCGTGCTTCCCTTGGGGCAGTCGCTGATTACATACCTATTTTTTTTACACAGGTGGGATGTCATAGATCAAATTATTGTATTGTATTCCCTACACGACAACTAATATGATATATACTAGTTTTAAGTTTTAACTTACATCATTAATGTTTTATCAATTACAATATGGCAGCCGGTGGGTCTAGACTCTGGATATAATCATTGATATTTAATTACTGTATAATGCTGTATTTGCATTAAAGTGAAATTAAATTATACATTCAAGTTGGCAAGACCACCTTCCCGCCCCTCCCCCCCTGAGGGTGACGTGCCCGTCTCCCCTCGTGGTGACGGTGGGGGAGCAGGAGGAGGGAACTTGTACAACCTGTTAGGCTGGGTGGTGTTTGGGTGTTCAGTCTACCACCGCCTCGGGCACGGTCTGCCGCCTCACCACGTGCCTTCCCTAACCACCCACAACTCTCCACTTATTTGGTAAATTGAGAAGGACAGTTTTACCCATTATAAAAAAGTTGAATACCATTAGAAATGAGGATTTGGGAAAACGAGGCCTAGTGTTATATGGGTTTGAAAATTAATATATGGGTTTGCCCCGTTCTAGATTATTTACTGCTATTTAATATTATTTGCTTAAGCTTTGGTACACTACTATATGCCGCTTCGCAAATCTGTATGAAGGGTTACAGAGTTAAGGTCATGGGGGGGACCTTTGACAAGACGTCGGCTTCCTGTTCATTAGAAGAGAGAACTTCTCCAGCGCCAAACCACCTGGATAGTGATCTACATATTTATGATGGTCTGATTGTTACATATTACGGGTTCAGTAATAGTCTGCTTGTATACTGGGAAGTGAACCTTTGTTCTAAACTGAGAATATTCGCAAGTTATAACTTTTGTAAATCGTTTGTTATTTTTTTTATAACAAGCTTAGGTGTTATGTGTAGCAGCAATGTGCTGCTACCAATACATAAAAAGTATATCCCGAACACATTTATATTAAAAGTGAAGAATATGGTTTTCTGTCAACGAAATTCAAGGAAAAACTTAAATAGTTTTCGAATAATATTTCAGATTTTGGACAATATTACATTGTATTAACATAACCAAACGTAATGAAATCTAACCTAACCAAACCTCAACCTCAGTCTAAAGTAATATTAACCTAACCTAACCATAGATAGCAGATAATAGCACTGATTACATAGTTTTTAATCCAGTGCCTTGAGATTTTCTCCTGTGGATAGGTATACAGTATAGATACGCTCATATATATATATATATATATAATATAATATATATATATATATATATATATATATATATATATATATATATATATATATATATATATATATATATATATATATATATATATATGTCGTACCTAGTAGCCAGAACGCACTTCTCAGCCTACTATGCAAGGCCCGATTTGCCTAATAAGCCAAGTTTTCATGAATTAATTGTTTTTCGACTACCTAACCTAACCTAGTTTTTTCGGCTACCTAACCTAACCTAACCTATAAAGATAGGTTAGGTTAGGTAGGGTTGGTTAGGTTCGGTCATATATCTACGTTAATTTTAACTCCAATAAAAAAAAATTAACCTCATACATAATGAAATGGGTAGCTTTATCATTTCATAAGAAAAAAAATAGAGAAAATATATTAATTCAGGAAAACTTGGCTTATTAGGCAAATCGGGCCTTGCATAGTAGGCTGAGAAGTGCATTCTGGCTACTAGGTATGACATATATATATAATATATATATATATATATATATATATATATATATATATATATATCCGCCTCCGCCAGGATTGAACCCAGAACCTCGGGACTAAGAAGTTGAAGTGCTATTCATTCAGCTGTCAGGCCCTAGGTGATGGTGATTAAGGAATCAGAGGCCTTGCCTTGAACTATATTCAATCATTTATATATATATATATATATATATATATATATATATATATATATATATATATATATATATATATATATATATATATATATAAATATAATAATATAAAATAATATAATATAACTATGTACATATACTGTACCATAATGTTTGGTGGTGAATATTGTAAGTGGCTAAGAGTACCTAACTACAGATCTAAATTCAAACATAGACTGTAATGTGTAACCAATGACCTTGTACATAATGTGTGGTAGAGTTACTAATATTCATTTCTGATCCTGACAGCTGGCGGGCCATTCACCATTTACTTACCTTGGAATTTGCCTCTTTTTTTTTGTATAGTAATTGTTTGATTTTTTCTTTTGAAATTATACCTTAATTAACAAAGAATTATTTTGTGAAATTTTTTTGTTAGTGTATGCATTGTTTGCCACATAGTGCCGGGAACGGACAGCACGCTGGACTTGTGATCCTGTGGTCCTGGGTTCGATCCCAGGCGCCGGCGAGAAACAATGGGCAGAGTTTCTTTCACCCTATGCCTCTGTTACCTAGCAGTAAATAGGTACCTGGGTGTTAGTCAGCTGTCACGGGCTGCTTCCTGGGGGTGGAGGCCTGGTCGAGGACCGGGCCGCGGGGACACTAAAAAGCCCCGAAATCATCTCAAGAAGATAGTGGACCAATATGATTTGTGGTTGCTCCAATTTTGAATTAAATATTCTCTTAAACTTTTACATAAACCTTTAGTATAATTGTTCATAATTTTGTCTGCTTACTTAAAAATATCAATATCGTACTGTGTTTCAGTGTATTCTGTGCATTAACGTTTTCTTAATCCACAGGCTTTGAGAATTGTGTTAAGGGACAGAATGGCGCGACACACACTGCTTTGTTTATTGTTTGTAGTGGCTGTCATGGGAAAACCTGCTGATGAAGAGAAAAAATCAAGAGTACATAGTGTAAGTAGACCTTGTCTAGCAGAGTTTTTGGAGTTACTCTTAAGATTGGACTCTCTAGCTATTTTCTCCCACCAAATGAAATGAGGTAGATAAAGTAATTGTCAGGAGAAAGTGCTAAGCCATCAGGACTATATAGCCCTTGGAAGGGCTGAGAATAATGATTTGGGATAGGACAAAGGGAGGGAATGGTGTCCAACCACTTGGATGGTCAGGGATTGAATGCCAACCTGCAAGAAGCAAGACTTGCACTACCATCCAGCCCTAGTGAAATGGGCTTCTGCTTCTTAAAGAGATCGGCTTTTTCCATAAAGAATAATTTCAACACCAGTGCTGCATCCTTAGAATTGGTCGTACATACATGGTATACATCATTTTGAATATCCTTGTTTAGATTCTTGGAGGCTGTCTTGATATTCTCCAGTTTAGCATTTGTTGCTGGAGTGATTGGATTTGTGACCCCAGTGATCAGTTTGGTGTTATGAAAGTTGCTCTCACCAACTCGCCAACTCTGGAGGATTTCTCCACTTTATTGTAAATTTCTCCTCTTACTTACCTCTTGCATATTCCCATCGTCATGACCTCGCATTAGAATTCCAGCAGCTACATGCCAGAACACCCTTGCATTCAGTCTTTATTTTTATTTTTTATTTTTTTTTTAGTATCAAGCAGTGCAATTTGAAAAGTGTAAAAGTGAAAAGTGCTATTGTGGTTTATGTGTGTATTGAGAAGTGTAGTTACTGGATGAGATCTATTCTCATGGTGTCATGTGTTCCCGTTGTTTCTCATATAACATGAAGGTTCTGCTAGTTTTGGCATACACTACCTTCACAGTTAATTTATTCCAGTGTGCATGCTATTGTGTTGGGGGATATATGGGGTCTTGACTCAAAAATCATATCACATCAACAGGAAAAACTTAGTGATGAAGAACACTTTGTAAATGATGAACACAATGTAGACTACGACCATGAAGCTTTCTTGGGAGAAGATGAGGCTCGGACTTTTGATCAGCTTACGCCGGAAGAAAGTAAAGATAGATTGAGGTACAGTATGTTTATACAACCTTGTTACTTTTACGATCTCAGATTGTCCTTCCTTTCTTCATCTTTTTCTACTTCCAGTTACTCTTTACAGTACTTTTGATGAAAGAGTAGCACGCATATTTGTGTCCAGCAAGTCTGAGTGGTTTGTTGCCATTGCCCATAACTTCCACTATCTCCTCTTTTTTTTTTTTTTCTTCACAGTATTTTATTTGTATAGAATTTGTATAACACAGTATAGCTTTTAATGAACTGATCATTCAACATTTTAACTACAGTATATTGATGGTATTACAGTACAGTACAGTATATTAAAAAATTATTACATATTTAAAATTCTGTATATAATTCTTTTCAATTTCAGCAAAATAGTTGATAAGATTGACCTTGACCATGATGGCAAAGTGACAGAGACGGAACTAAAAGAATGGATAGAGTACACTCAAGGTCGCTATATTAAGGAGGATGTGAAGAGGCAGTGGAATGTCAACAACCCAGAGAATAAAGAAACTCTATACTGGTCAGATTACAAGGTCATGGTTTATGGCTTTATGGATAGTAAGTATTTTTTTGTCATTTTATTTCCAGATTTTCCTTTTCAGTACCACCTGTATTGCTATATCTTATAAAGTTGGCTAGACTTGGTCACTGCTCTGAATAAGAAACATAACATTGTCTGTGACATTAATTAGTTATTATATCTCTAAATATTCTATTTTAATTTATCTGTACATACTTTTTAAAAGGTCTTTTAATTAGAGGTTCAGACAGGATTGAGTAATTCATAGGCTAATAATACACTATAGTGTAACTACAGGTAAATGGGAGACCTTACATTATAGTTTAGTCATGAATTTGTGTCTGAGGCAGTGAGGAGTCATTTGAACTAAAATTGGTTCAGCAGTACAGTTGTAGGTTCCTGTTTTGACAGACCTATTTTCGGTCTTCAAAAGTAATAAATTGTAATTATTATCTTTGTTTCCAGACATGGACCCATCTGAGGTTGATGATTATGCTGAAGGCATGACGTATTCTGAAATGATGAAGCGAGATCAGCGTCGATGGGAAATGGCAGACAAAGATAATGATGGTGCTCTCGTACTTGAAGAGTTTACGGATTTCCTTCATCCAGAAGAAGCCAAGCACATGCAGGGCATTGTGGTGACGGAAACAATGGAAGATATTGATAAAGACAAAGATGGAAAAATTTCCTTGGAAGAATACATTGGTAAGTTCTTTATTTAAATTGTGTTATTTTCAGTGTTTTACACAAATAGATCTACCCTATTCCATGTTAGTCCCATGGAAAATTAAAGCAAGGGAATCTAGAAATTAGTTTAATTTTATGATGAAAAAGAACTAAATTTCATGTGTCAACGAAGGTGTGCTGAAGTACATAAATGTGAGAATTGGAACGAGTGTTTTAAAATGTGGGAAAGTGGAGCTGGTCATTTCTAGCCACATTCCTAATATTGATCACTAAAAAGAGCTGCTGTAATGACCATACAATATTTAGATATTCACTTTCTCCATATCAGCCTTTCCATTGTCTTTGTGTTTCCTGATACCTTGTCTCTTTCTTTGTCTTTAAACGTGCCAAGACATTGTTTACTCTTTACAATGCGAACCTGGCCACCACCAGTGACCTGTGATGACCACCCATCAGCTGATAATTGTTTACAGAGGCAGCATATGGAATGTTGGCAAACATTAGTGTTATTCAGAAATCTAAAGTAAGACTTTTCAAAGCAATCCACCCAGCCATTGTTAGAACAATACTGGAATGTGCAGCACTGACCTGGACTCTGTTCCTTGAGAAGTATAAAACCAATATTGAGAAAGTACATTGGTATGCAACAATATTAGTGCTAGTGTCAGAAGATAGGTTAAGGGAGCTTGATTTCTCAACTCTGAAGGAGAGAAGAAACATAGGAGGCATGATCACAACATAAAAGTTACTGAGGGGAATATACAAGATACATGAGGGACCCCTTTAAATTGAAAGTACATAAGTAGAACGAGAGGACATAAATGTAAGCTGGAAATGTAAGGAATTATTTGTACCCTTGTTTGGGTGGTCAAAAAGTGAAATGTACTGAAAGTGGTGGTGGAAGAGACTTTATACACAACTTTAAGCCTAGATGCAATAAAGACTTCAGATGTCAATTAAATTAGTTGTTAACAAATGGTTTAATTACACTGTAACATGTTCAATAAGGATACAGTAGTAGAAGGGGAATAAAGGGCTCCTTCCCTATATTAACTAGTAGGTAAGTACATCAGTTGATACTTGTGACAGTTTTAGGGTTAAACGTGTTCTTGAGCCAAGATTTGTGATAAAGCTTTATTGTAGTTTTCTTAATGTTTTAGTTTATTAAAGTGATAGGAAAGTTATTTGCACTCAAATGATGATAATTTGTATGGATGTAGTGTAGGCTAATATTGTTACAACATTGATTTCCTTTTATAATAGGATTTTTCTTTTCCCAGGTGACATGTACCGTGGTGACGATAGTGAATTTGAGCCAGCGTGGGTGAGCAATGAACGAGACCAGTTCAGAGAGTTTAGAGACAAGGATGGAGATGGGTATCTGGACGAGGAAGAGGTAAGATAAGAAACTATATTCTTTTTGTCAGGATTAACACTCATATTCCAATGGCTTAATGAACTGCATTTAAAATAATTTAAGCTTATGTTCTAATGATGCATGTCGTAGCATCCGCTTTAAAAATTCACATTAGCATTTAGCGCCAAGTCTTCCTTCAGTATCATCATAATCATTTAGCACCAAGTCTTCCTTCAGTATACTGATGCCTTGTATTGTGCAGCACTAGCGGAGCTGCTTCAGCTTGCATTTGGGGTGGATGTCACTTCCGCCTTATTCCGTAAGCTTTCTCGTGCTTTGTTTCACCTCCGGCCTGCTCATGCTCCGCCTGAGCCATCCTGGGCCTTAGACAGGGTGCTCTCTTTTCTCTCTTCTCCTCGGTTTGTGGTGGCCCCTTCGGTTCAAGATTGTTTTTCCAAGGCTGTTTCTGTTGGCATTGGCCTCTGGGGGTCGGGTTGGTGAGCTTCATGCTCTCCTCCAGCACAGGTTTCTACTCCTTCGGTCCTGGTAGTCAGTTTGTTCGGTTGCAGCTGTCTCCTTCTTTTCTGGCAAAGAACAAGACAGCGGTTTTCCAGAGGGGCCCTTGGGTCATTGATGCTTGGTTAGTTAGGCCAGGGGTGCATCATGTGTTGTGTTCGGTTGCAGCTCTTCGCTGTTACCTGTGCGCCCTGGCCTCAGTGGCTGGGGACGTGCTTTGGGTTGATCCAGTTTCCCTCGTTCCCTTTTCCTGGGCTCAGGTCTCCCAGGTTGTCTGCAGGGGTATTAACTCTAGCCAGCCTGCAGTCTATCCTCATGCCCATGACATTCATAAGTTTGCTGCTTTGACTACTTTCTTCGGCAACATGTCTTAGGCTGACTTTCGGTCACAGGGACCAAAGGGGTCTTGAAAGGGTTTAGAGGTCGAACAGGGTCCTGGCCCCCCTTATTTGATCAACGTTCCTGGTCCTGGTTGTTCGTGTGTGGTTTTGGGTCGCAGGTTGCAACCAGTTGTCTTGACTTCAAGCTGAGGAGCACGTGGCACTGCCTCCTGAGTAAGTCCTTCTTTCACTTATCTTTGGTTATATAGTTCCAGGGAGCCAGCGGGGCTCTCCGCAGATAACCAGCATTGAATGTAATGAAACACCTTTTTCTGGGTGAACCCAGAGGGTCCCTGGCTCCCGTTAGTGATTTTGTTTTGGTTTTGATGCTCGGCCTTTGAACTGCAGGTGTGAGTAGCAGGCACAGGGGTCCAGAGCTCTTCCCCTCCCTCTCCCGGGGAGGGGAAGGCTGCGCGGATAAGCGGCGCATCGTATGCTGTTTGCTTGTTTCCTTGGGTGTTGGGAGAGGTCTGCCTCTCTGTTCGGTCTTCGGTTGCAATTTTCTTACCAAATGGGGTTTGTTTTGTTATGCCTACCTTTCTGGGTTCCTAACCCAGGTCGATGGCACACATGGAATGCCCCCCAACCACATGGGGGTTTCCATAGGCCATTGCTCCCTGTGCCTTTTTGAGAGGGGGCCAGGTTCTGGCTCATGGTCCTCGGTAGGCTGAACTCCAATTGACTAATGCCCCAGACTAATATATCGCATATCAGTCCGATAGCTCCAGGGAGCCTCTGGGGCTCGCCCAGAAAATGGCATTTTATTACATTCAACGTTGTTTCTTTATTATTTGAAAAATACAATTACAATAATATTTTTATTATTTATAAAAATACAATATATAGAAAATACAATTCTACTATGAATATTGATAGTTGATTAGGTAGTCAACCAGCCCGCCCTCCCAAGATTTCCAAATGTCAAGAATCTGTTGTACTCGAGTGGTCCTTAACCTAACCTACCAGAAGACCCAAAATGGGACAGTGTCAATTTTGAGAGCTGCCACCATTTTCTAGTAGGACGATTTTTTACCTTGGGTAGAGTACACGTCAAAAGGCAACGTTCTATTAGGAGGATGGGTTGAGCTATCATCCCTGCTTGAGGTGATGATGCAGGAGCCATGTAGCACTGGTGAGGGAGGGTTCATTGTTGTTTAGGATGCAAAATTCATCTGTGTAAATTGAAGTGGTATTGAGGTACGTTTTTTAATCATGACGGCAAAGGTTGAGGCTGTGGCTGATTTTGGCATGCAGTCTTCTGTCTGTTGATGTTTTGGGAGATTGTTAGGTTGAAGAAAAATGCTGCAAGTTCCCTCTGCCTCTCTCTGTTACCAAGCCTCCCTCAACTCTGGGATCAGTTATATTGAATTTATAGTTATACTTGTAAACTTTCTTTAGTTTCAGATTGTACTGATTGAGGCAAAGGCTCCAGACTAGGATTGCATATCGAAGTGTTGGTCTTATGTAGGTTGTATATAGTGTTCTGAAGGCTTCTTTATGTAGGTACCTGCAAGCTACTCACATTTGATAACTTCACATGTGCTCTAGATTTTTTTTTGCTGATGTGTTTATCAGATGATAGGTTTAGAGTTACAGTATATACATTTCCAGGTCTCTTAATTTCTGTTTTTGGGATTTGTTTCACTTTTAACCTAACTGCACCTGTAGTAAACTTTCCCCATTACTTTGTTGCTGTATTTAAAAAAAAAAAAAATGCCGTTTTCTGATGAATGCTGCAATATAAACAAATCTCCCTGTAATCATCTTCGATTCTAACACGCTTTATTAGCTTTGCATCATTCGTAAACAGGAATATGAATAATCGTATTTCCTTTGCCAGGCGAGTTACACATATTGGTAACAAATTTGGTCACGGTGCTGAGCCCTGTGGCACCGCACTTGTGACTTCCCGCTGTTCTAATTTCTCCTGTCTTGCCTTTGCTCTTTCATCCCTAATCTCTGTTTACTATGCCAGAATACTGATTTGATCATGCAGCTCTCGTGGAGCTTTAATTATTTCTCGCATTTATTCCAATTTGCATTATAGTATTTTCTCCACCTTCAGATATTTCTAGAGTCCTAGTATACTGCTCTCATCTCAATTTTACAAAATTTCTTTTCTGCCACTGATTTCTCTTGATACGCTATAGTTCATGCTCCATGTCTTACCCCATGTGATGTTACATCTGTGGGGTGGTGGTGGTGTGCACATAACTTCATACAGACATGACATACCACTTGTTTCTATAATATACAAGTGCTAATGTTTTTATGAAACAATACCATATACAGAGGAGCCTCGGTTAACGAATTTAATCCGTTCCAGCACTGAGCTCGTCATGTGAAACGCTCGTCTTGCAAAACGAATTTCCCCATTTAAAACAATGGAAATAAAATTAATTCATTGCACCACTGAAAAACATCAATATGATATTTGATTATTTTTATTTTTTCATAGAAAATGGAGCACCCTACATGACATACAAACCTTTTTGACATTTGTTCTTTTTTCACTTTTTTTTTTGTCTAAACCAATAAAAATCAATGCTTTGCAACATTACAACAGTCACCATTAGCATCTTTAAATTTTTTTTGTTGATTTGCATCGTCAGAGGCATCCGAGAATTTGCGAGAACCAGCGGGAATGCTAGGAAGCACTATATGGCTTTCTCGTTAACTGAGCAGAAGCTCGTCAGTCAAGACAAATGTTCTGCGAGTGGCTCGCTTGTTACCTGAAATGCTCGTAAATGGAGCCTCTTGTCACCCAAGGTTCCTCTGTAGTGTTGTACTGTAACAACATAAAAACAAATGCATATACAGTAGTTCATATTTTTGTTAGAAGCCCTGACATGATTTATTGTGTAATAAGATGCTGTATAGTGTAATTTACATATCTGAGAGTAATAAACAGCTCTATTCATTAAAAGTAAGTGAAATTAGCTCAGATATTATGTCAAGAACTACTTTCCATTTTTTATTCTGTTCTTAAAATGTGTTTTCAACATTATTTTGAGTTATTCTCTACAAGAGGTGTACTGTTTGTGGTACAAAAAAAGTTAGTAAAATAGTGCATCTTGAAAATAAAAGTGAACCTAAATTTTAATGTACAGTATGGTATCCCCAAGGATGGTCTGCTTTTATGGTTCAAATTATCAGGATAATATTGTACATTATTAGTCAATTTTAATAATATCTAATTTTCTTTATAGGTGAAAGGGTGGATTATTCCACCAGATTACAACCACTCTGAGGCAGAGGCTAAGCATCTTATTTATGAGGCGGACAGTGATGGCGACAAAGTACTTACTAAGGAAGAGATCCTCAACAAATATGATGTTTTTGTTGGCTCTCAAGCAACAGACTTTGGGGAAGCATTAGTCAGACATGATGAATTTTAAGTGTTAATGTCAGTTTAATAATTTCAATAGTTAATGAGGTACTGTACCATAATGAGACCAAAAGCACTTGGATAGTGTATTTTGTGAGTACATACTTCTCCAAAACTGACAAAATCAGTGTCCATAAACTTGACTGTGTTCATAGTTTTAATGAGAAATTATTTTGCAAAGATTATTTCTTCTATAGATGAAAAGTTTTAATGAATCAAGTTATCTTAAGCATGCCAACTCCACTATTAATTCATAGTGCCTGGACACTTCACTTGAGGAATTGTGGATATTTTGAACAGATCTAAATAGGAATAAATATTTTAAGTAATGCCATAAGATAGTGAATTATCCAGATGCTAAAATGTACTAGTGCTTTATCAAGTAACATTGATAATACTGTACTGTAGTAGATTAAAGTGAGTTCCCCATTATTGTGATCATTATTTGTTTTAAATAACATTTAGTTATTATACAGTACGTGTAATACTAATAGACATTGATATTTTCAGTGTAAACCTCATAATGCAGCTTTAATTATAGTAGTCTTGAATTGTTTAATAAATGTGAAGATGGTTACCAAAGCTGCATTGAGCAACTATGTCACAAATACATGACCCACAAAGTGTGATGACAAATGTAAGATAATCGACATCTTGGTGTATAGGGTAGTTGCCCACATTTTTTTTATTTATCCTTGAGTAATGTTTAAATTTGTTATATAATTTATTAGTTTTACCACTTTATTTATAATGCACATTTTAATTCGTTGGGCAGTGCATTCTTGTGCACCAAGTAGTTGAAGATAACAGATGACATGTGTGTTAGCCCACTATTAAAATTTGTTGTATAAACTTGCATTGTATTAATTTTTTTTAAACGAGCATTTATACCATATCCACAGGTGTGTGGCCCATGAGCAAATGGATAACTGGCTTTCTCAATACCATACATACATCTGGAAGACAAAATTTAATTAATAATAATTTTACTTATTGTGATGGAGTATATTGGTTCTCTTAAAAAGATGGATTACAAGTAGGAAGAAATAATGCTGGTGAGCTGCTGCATTGCCAGGCTCACTAGAAGCCAACGGTTGTAAAGTCTGCAGACACAAAGGGTATGTGGATACAGGATCTGTGAATAGGGTATAAAGGCTTGCATTGCAATGTTAAAATTCAAGAGTGTTGCTGTTGATGTCATTTTTAGAGGTGAGAGATCTTTTACTTAATGGTTGGGGGCTCAAAGCAAAGCACACAAACTTAGATGATTTGGCGATATTTTGCTAGTTAGGCCATGCCAGAAAACAACGTATAGATAAACTAATCCTATTTAATCTTGTTATAGTAATGCCTATCATTCAAGAGGAGTTATAGAGCTAGCAACTTCTTCTGTGACAAAGGACTATAGAATGTCAATATTTTCATAGGCCAAGACGAAATTAGCTGTCTTATACCAGGAAAGACCATCACCACTAATCATAAATGGAAAAAATGGCTAGAAAATAATCAAATTCAGAGTGACAAACTACCAAACCAGACATTACGTATGGTACATTTTCTGTTTGGCATATAATGCCAATGTTGACAGCCTTAAATTTATTTATACTTCCTGTTAATCTTTAAAAGGAAATGTAATGTAAAAAGGTTCTCATTAATGTCTTAAATTTAGTTATAAGGTTTGCATTGAGCCTTTTCAAATAGGTAAACCCCTAAAGAGCAGTTTTATACCCCCCCCTCCATACACATCATTGGTGTCTATACAGAATAATCATCTTATGAAATCAAAGATATATTTTTGTTCACAAAGTTTCTACACTTGTTTAGTAATCAGTCTGGTCTTGAAGATTAAGCCCTAATTTTTATCATACAAATTCTGTAATACTGAGTTCTTAACATTTGTGTATTGTAATATATTGTGCGTGCAGAGATTTACATATTCTAATATTGGAACATTTGATGCACAGCCTTCTAACAAAGTGACTTTCTAAGGGATTCAAATTTTGTTATTGCTGATCACATTTTTGAATTTTGAAGGGATTCAAATTTTTTTATTGCTGATCACATTTTGAATTCTAGAAAACAAAGCAAATGTCTGCTATTTCTAATGCTGACTAACATTTTTTATTGAAGCACAGTATGTTAGCTTCTAATTAGACATTTTGACATCAACATACAGTACAGAATAATGTACAGTACTGTAAAAAAATAATTGTGAATAAAGTTGTAAGGTTTTTAATAAAGAGCATTAATTTTGATGCTCTGAACATGTGCGACATTTCTTACCTGGTTAATTTTATACAAGAATATGTCACTTTTATAAACAATGTTCTCACCCACACCACACTACATCCTTACAAATTCTTGCAGAAGCTCCAGTACATACATTTCTTTGTCAGTTGCTAACACTTTATTCTTAGGTTATATCTATTCTAATCTCTCCGGGAAGACTTGAGAAAAGTACTACAGTAACCATATTCGATACAAATAAAGTGGAGGAAGAGCTGTAGGGACTAGCATTGTATGGCATATTGTGTTGTTGATGGCAAGTGCAAGTGTTGCCATCGAAGTGCATAATAGATGCTCTTGATTGTTTACTGTTACATATCTAATTTTTGTAAATTTTCATTCTTCATATCATTTTGTAATAAATATAAATCAATATTTTAGTTTTAATTTTATTATGACAATTGTTGTAGGTTGAATGGCAAAGACGATACCTCCCAAATCGAAGTACAATACTATGATAAATATAACAATGTATTTTTTTTTATATATATTAAACACTATAGAAGTCTGATGACTCATTTTAGAATCGGCAGTGGTTTTGTGGGAATTGGTCTGATTATGCTTAAATAACTCAACCGATTTTTAAACATTACTTCCTAAACCCTTCAACTGAACAACACGACCAGGATTGTTTTAAAGTACTGTACTGTGTAAGCTTTAAAACTCTTCCGGTTTGGTGTCTTCTTTTGATAATTACTTACTTTAAAACTCCTGTCAGTACATGGGGCTCGCATTTGCTTCCTCAAGCCTACAGTAAACAGATGCCATCCAGGAAAACAAAAATGTGGACACCACCTGGGTGTGAAGGTCTCAGTACTGAGAGCAACCATGAATAGCTCATACAGCATCATCTCGCAGCACTGCCATGCAGCTCGTGCCTACAGTATCACTCAATAATAATAATAAGTAATGATGATGGTAGTGTCATAGAAAATCCTGACTGTGATAAAGACTGTACAAGATTTGGATATCAATTAACCCAGTGCTAGATATGATTCAAAGCATTAGGCACACATCAACAGCATACAGCCACAGTTTGGCAAGTCTACATAGTGAAAACTGACCTCATATTCCTGTAGAAAATGAGCTTGTGGAAAATAATTCAGATTCAGGATTCTGATAATAGCAGTGTTGTGGCTAGAGGTCTGCAATGTGAATAAGTGCCTTTGGCAACTGACTAGCATGCGGCACATGCTGTGCTTGGATTGCAAGATTACCACACCCACCTGAACTGCTTAGTGGTTTGTAATGGTGCATGAAAATGTAGTTGTATATAACATGTATACAGTGTAGTAATAGCAAAAACTGTTTTATTGCTCAAAGAATATATTATGTTCACATTAGTGTCACGAATATATCTGTGCATACCTATGTTCTACACATTGTTGTGATATAAATAACATTACTGACTATCCATTGCATTATTACACTTGAAAAAACCTTGGTGAAGGCATTTAAAATATGAATAAAGGAAAATATTCAATGGGCATAGTTAAAACTTGTGCAAAGTACGCAGGGCAAGACTTGACTAATCATTATTTATGAGATTACATGTACTAGCTCTTATCTATAAATTCATCAATATTTGTATCACCCCATGTATGTATGTACTTTACCTAAATAAACATTTGAATTTGGTTAGTGGTTCGTAATGGTGCATAAAAATGTAATTATACATAACGTGTATACTGTGTAATAATACCCAAAACTTTGATGTAATATAATATGGTGCACATATTAGTGAAAAATATGTTTGAGCATACTGATGTTCCACACATTTTATTATATAAGTGACATTGAAATGCAGTACAGCATGTAAAAATATTTGCGGCAAGTCCAGCCCTATGCCTGGCCCAGGGCAACCTCCACTGGGCCATGCCTAGCCCAGTGGATGTTGTTCATCCAGTGTTCATGGAGATACCATGAACCTCCATGAACGCTTTTGGAATGTAATGTCATCGCAAGATTTTCTTGCTCCACCATTGCCAGTCACAATTTTTTTTTATTCTGTGATCATGGAAGGCATTTTAACAATACTAGAAAAAAAATTGGGGGAATTGTTTCTTTCTCTTGCACCAGGGCGGTCCGTCTAATTACCACAAGCTACACAAGCTTCAGAAAGCTTCCTGGCAATACGTTAGTAATGAATAAATATGATATATTTACTCATTATAATGTTGGTGCTGAATGTACAACACGAAAAAACATAATTTTAATCTGAAAAAGTATCTTTTTATAAAGAAATTAGACGAAAATAAAAGGCTGGTGACGCCAAATCAAGTCGACGATCCAAGCTTCGGTTAGGTTAGGTTTGGTTTGGTTAAGTTAGGTTGGGTTAGGTTAGGTTAGGTTAGGATAGGTTAGGTTAGGTTAGGTCAGCCTAACCTAACATATCATATTTATTCATTACTAACGTATTGCCAGGAAGCTTTCTGAAGCTTGTGTCGCTTGTGGTAGCTTGTGGTAATTAGACGGACCCCACCAGGGCACTGTCTTGTATAAATGTGCCGCAGCTATTTATATAGCCCAAAACGCTATGCATGCTAGTGGCTTTACAAGAATGTTAATTCAACTTATTTTCAATATTCTCTGTTAACCCCAATGTAACTTCTTGTATATAAATAAATATAAATAAATACATAGCTGCGGCACAAATTGTTAACCATTTTATTTGCATCTATGCAACACAATTCTTCTCAAATACATGAGCACATGTGGGCAGAGCTTATGGCCACCACATTGCTCTGGATGAGGGGACTAACTAAAGATCACCTTGGGAACTCACGCTTTCACATCAAGCCAACCTAGACCCACATGTTACTGTTTCCATAATTCAGAGAGTTTTCTCGTCCTCGATAATTATGGCATTTTGTGTTGGAATTACTTATGTATAAGGTTACTTTAGATTGGAAAAGCCCAAAATATCTGTTGCATTCGATATGAATGTCAAGGGTGCAAGTGTGAGAGAATACCATAGTGCTGACTGGGGGTTCTTGATTCAGATCCAAAGTACTGTACTTTGATCATGAAGTACAGTACAGTAATCTTATTCTAAGTTCCACCACCATTTAACATTCGAGAAAGCACTTTGTGTCTAAGCTACATTGGAGTCGGTGGAGAGTTGGTATAGCATATAGAATAGTAGAGCACTTTGATGCTCTACAACATCAGTGGGTAAGTACATACAATGCTTAATCATTAACATAATATACCATATAGTAACAATGTTTTTCCTGAAAATAATTGCCTGGACAGTGAGCTAGAGTGTAGCCCTTGAAGAGGTGAAGCCATACAAAGTTTTTGATAGAGGACTCAGTGGACCACATGGAGACAATAAATTAACTTTTGTAGCATCAATAATAACGTACCATATTATTTATGAACATTTAGACATAGGCTTTGTTGCTAAGTGCTAAAGTTTTCTACACCTATTACATTAAAGTGTAATTCTAGTAATAGTAATAGGTATAGATGTGGCGCCTGACAGCCGAGTGGACAGCGCTTCGGATTTGTAATCCTGAGGTTCCAGGTTTGATCCCCGGTGGAGGCGGAGGCAAATGGGCAAAATGTTTCTTTCACCCTGATGCCCCTGTTACCTAGCAGTAAATAGGTACCTGGGAGTTAGACAGCCGCTATGGTGTGCTTCCAGGGGGGTGTGTAACAAAAAGTTGGCCTGGTTGAGGACTGGGCCACAGGGACGCTAAGCCCTGAAATCATCTCAAGATAACCTCAAGATAGTGTTCCGATGATGCTATAACACGTCTGTGTTTCAAGAGTTTTGATGGCACTAAAAATATGCCATCCATCTCAAAAATCTTGTAAGTCACTAATTTCTTTTTGAGCAGTGTGGGTATAGCTTATCAGGGGAGCAACCAGGGATCACCTTGGCCGCCTACCTATCATTCAAGATGATAATTGCTCTGCTTTTGTGTATTTTCACAATGCTTTTAAATTGCATGCTGGCAAAAGTATGAAAGTTGTTTGTTTACTGTTTACAACAATACAGACTGATCATGTGTGCACATTTCCATATTTTGATTTTGTTTAAAAATAAATGAGGCATGTTGAGATATTCATAAATATTTGTATATTCAGCATTGCCACTTACATTATCATCAAAACATTTTGGTTTGTATCTGTACTCGAGCAAATTCATTTGTGAAAATTTTGGCACAAAATTTGTAGTTACTATAACATAAAAAAATTAAACTTTTATTTTTAACATTGTAAGTGTTGTATAAGAGGACCGTCAGATGCTTGGAACGTTTAGTCAGGTGTGCACTTACGGGTCACAACAGTAAAGTGTTTAAACTTTTTAAATTCCATTAAATATAAAAGCATTTTTTCATATAAAAGAAGAGTGAATTTTGTACATACATGATTAGTTATACATAAATACTTTTTATATCTTTAACCTGGAAAAATTATACCAAACATTTAACAAGAAGAAACATAAACTGAAACACTGTCCATAAATTTGTACAAGTATTTTTGGCAACTACAAACTTCCAGCATTATAATGTACCATTATTTTAGCTTTAAAAATATTTAATTCAAATTCCTGATTTTTGCCCTTTAAATTGTAATGTTAAACTGTACACAAATGTTGGAAAGATAGGTGGCTGCATACAATCAAAAATAAATCATGTCATCAAATGTGATTTGACCTCAAGGTCTTCCTTCATATAAACAGAAAATGAGAAATGTCCTTAGCTTAGTTATGTATCTTACACACAAAGTTAACTAGAGAATACTTGAATAGAAAGCTGCCCTTTTCAATATCAGAAAATTTGCTTCCCAAGTTCCTTTATCTAAAATCTCTCTCATCCTGTGAATCCAACACCTATAAAGAAACAAATCTAGTGATATTCTGCTCCCATATAGGCATACCAAGCGATATACTGTAGTTACTTTAGAATAATTTGTGACTGGCATAGCAATATATTTTGATAATAATTTATATCTTTATTATATTAATAATATCTTTTAAATTTCCTCATGCATAATTTATTTTTTATTTTACACTGTCAAATTTTCTAACTGCATCATTTATATCTATAAAACAATGTCTGCATTTAAAAAATGTTTTTACTACAGTATTTGTGCCTGCAAGATTGAGCAGTTAGCTCTTGGGCCCCTTTTGTTTGTCTGCATCAGTTCACAGGAGGACAACAGGTGCCTGGGGCTCTCCTCACCCAACTTTCCTAAATGGCAAATAAGAGGTATCCGAGTGTCAATAGGCCAGTCAGGGGTCATCCCTAGTGTCATTTTTTAGGAAATGTCAGCAGGTGTAGGTGGACCCGTGCAATTTGTATTTATATTGCCTGAAATTGGGGATGTGTTCTTTCTATTACGTGTTTAGCATTTTTGTGCTTTGTAA